GCCGTCTTTGTCAGCAAGTTAGGGTGACCACCCGTCCCGCGACTCGCGGGACTGTCCCGCATTGACGGCTCGTGCCCCGCGTCCCGCAAGAAATTCCCAAATCTTCAAAATGTCCCGCATTTCACTTCGTCGTAAATTCACTCTGAAACTCACGGTGCTGCCGAACAAGGGGGCACGTGGAAGCGCGAAGGTCGCTGGTGATCGTGTGAATCGTAATGGTACGCAATTAGGGAGTTTTCGTAGATCGTTTCCGCTGTACCGAAACGCTCTCCGCAACCACCTACGCTAGGCCATCAGCACGCCGGCGCAGTAGCGGCTGCTTCGTTGCGGTGGGCTTAGCGGAGGGGGAAATGCGGTAATTATTTGCATATCGCTGTGTCAATGCGAAAGGGTTTCTGTGGAAATTTTTTCCCGTGAATACAGCCGCACAAGGCAAAAAGCCTGCAACTCAGAACGGGCAAAAAAGAACATAATGTTAAAAATGTGTGTAGGACCATGTTGATAAAGGTAGGCGTTGACAGGAAACAATAACTCGAAAAATATTCACTGTTTGATCATTTTATTTTATGCATCGAGTTCTGCTGCAGGCGATTTTTATGTTTTCGATTTCGACACATATAATATGTCGCGAATTTTGTGAATCGCCTACAATTCGCGAAAATTAGGACCCGCAAATTATTCCAAAACATCAGCTTTGACCTAAATCTCGAAATGTTTAGCCCCCGAAGAACAAGTCCTTTACAGTATTTGGCATCAAAACTATATCACTGGGAGTGAAAAATATTTGAACTTAATTGCTGCAATACAATTTCCAGACGCATAAACAGCACTGGATATTAAATGTGTTAACGGAGCCTCGGTTCGTGGTGTTCGTGTTAATAAATTCTCTCTATCTCCCTCCCTCCCTCCCTCCCCTCCCCTCCCCTCCCCTCCCCTCCCCTCCCCTCCCCTCCCCTCCCCTCTCCCCCCCCCCCCCCCCCCCTGCCCGCATGTCCCGGATTTCGCTAGCGGGAAGGTGGTCACCCTACTGCAAGTCCACCTGGGAACCCATGCGTCGTGACTTGTTTCGACGTGTATCAGATGGTGGACTAGGCCTTCCTCATTCATTTATTCGCCAATTGGTTTCACGCTTTCGCTTCTTACAAGACCGGGAACATCATTTTCTTCGAGATGTCTTTCAGAACAAGATGGGATGCTTTCTTTCAGACTTTATTGTATCCTTTAATGGATAACAAACATGATGGAACACCTAAAGGAAGCAGTTGATGCTTGCCACTTTTTGTCAGTAAGATATTCAAGAGGCTATCTGACATCTGTAACACGCAAGTAGTTGACAAGAGATCTTGTATGTGTCCTCTTTCCAATGTCGGTTTGATGGTCCTGACCAAGATGTACCATGCTGGGTAAAGAAAATGTGCATCCCCCTGGTGGCAAAATCTTCCTTTCTAAACTGCACAAAAGGGCCTACATGTTCTGAGGTCAGCGAGAGAGATTTTGGGGGCTTATTGCGCAAAAGCTACGAGTCCATCTGCGCCAAGCTAATTGAAAATGAAAGGATCATTGATACGGAGGATTTCACAAAAATATAATTAAAAAGCTAGAATTGGCGTAAAAAGCCAATACTACCAAGAAATTCTATTACTCGTTCAAAAGGAACTATAGTATTCTCCCACAGCGAGAGCAGGATGAAATGGGATATGGTGTAGGAAAAAATTCAGGAAAATGAATGCGGCACTTGGGCTCAAGGCCGAACACAACCACAAGATATGCAAAGCTGGTGAGCCTGTCACCACACTGATCACACACCGGTGGATCAATCAATATTTTGCTACATAGTGACATGTTTTTAATAAAGCAAAAATTAATGGCCACAACATGTAGACTGGGAAGGGGGGGACAAAGGTAGCAGATGACAGAGTTGCCAGAAACCATGTAACTACACCCGATCGCATTTTTTTCCCCTTCGTTTTTTATATTGTGCGAAACAGGCGACAGCATTGCGGGCACCATTTGTCGTGCAATAGTTTTGGAATTATATTCGTGCCACTCGCTGTTCTGCGCTTCAACATCCTTTAAAACATGCTTTGCACTGAAGTCGCATCATCCATTTCGCACCACCACGGAAGAGAATGAGGGGGAGGCTGCTTTTGTATGAATTTTGAGAGACGGGATAGTCTTCTATAATCTTCTAGACGGAGAATAGCGACGTTTGGGCACGTCTGGGATACACAAAAGAGAGTTCTGGAGAGGGGAGTTCCTCCTTCCCCTCGTCTCTGGTGGTGACCACTGACCGGAGAGCTGACGGAATGACGTCAGGTGCAAAGCGTGTATAAGATTTGAAAATGAGTAGTGAATGCTTGTGATCAACTCCAACAGTTTTAACATTGTAAGGTCCAAGCACATGAGGGGGCACTCCTTGTTCACAGTAAAGGCTGGTGCACACATTTGCAACGGTTGCGTTCGCATGCAACCGAAACGACTGTAACAACAAAATCACCGGGACAAGTGTTCGCCGTACACAGAATGGCAAGTAATGCAAGAGGTAGCTTCGTGAAGCCATCCATGAATCAGTCAGTTTTGGTCGTTACGGTCGTTTCGGTTGCATGCGAACGCAACCGTTGCAAATGTGTGAACCAGCCTTAATGCAGCCAGCAGACTGTAGATGAGAAAGTTTGCTGCCAATTTCCCTGCAGCAAAGGCACTCCGCAGGCTCGAAGTCGGGTAGCACCATGCATTTCCCGCATACACACCTAGTAAAGAAATCACATACTGTAAACAACCTTTTTTTTTTTTACGGGCTCAATATTTTGCGATTTACGTCAAAGCTGAAGTTTTGGAATAATTTGTGGGTTCTAATTGTCGCGACGCAGTGGAATATCAATATAGATTCTAATGTATTTACATTTTATTGATTTTGTTCGCGGGACCTATTTTTCGCAAATTGTAGGCGAATCGCGAAAATTAGGTCCTCACGAAAATTAATTCGTTTACAGTATTCAATACCAAGTATGCACTTTGTGCTTCACGTTTGTGCATTTTTCAAGCTCTTACCGATTCGTGTTCGTAAGATGATCAATGTCTCCAGCCAGGGGAAGGCGCAACGACTCAGCAATGTCTTCGTGCGAATTTGCTTGGTGGTTGAGCGCGACGTACGGAATAAATCCTTATTATTTTGATCGGTAAAAGATTACTTTTTCAAAGCTAGGCAGATTCGTCAGTACCGCAGATGACAGTTCGGAAGCAGAGGTCCCACACCCGTCGTCCGCCGCCATCACTTCCACTTCGTTCAGTCGTCCAGCCCGCGACTTGGCGATCCCCATGTTACGACGCCGTGCTGAGAATTGCACAGCACACATACTTCCGCTACTGTGTGCAACTTTTCTTTACTGTAAACGTATTGGCAGCTTCTTAAAAGCTGCAAAAGATGGGTTTCATATATTTTTTTTTCTATTTTTAATATTGAGAATCTTCCTTCTATGACCCACGACCGATTATATTTGCTGCATCTGTCTGAACGGGACGTGACCCCAGAGAAGAGAGTGAGGGCGACTCAAAGTGGCCAGTTCTCTATGAGCAAATTTCGGGAGGAAAAAACCGAATTTTGAGCCACAATTTATGTTTTGGGTAGCTGGACTCCCCTATGTCATGTAAAAACAAGAACCCTGGCGAGCATAAATACCCTGTCAGCGTCCCTTTATAACACTTTCCGAAAAGTAAAACCTGAGCGCCTTCTTCATGACGTCACTGAGCAGAAAAGCGACAGTCGTCTAGGCACTGGGCTCTGTTGTGCCATAGCCCCATAGCCTCGATGGTGCCGACGCACTGGCGGGGCGGCCTGTACCTTTAATTGAGAACACTGCACGAACGTCACTTACTCCTGAGTGAGGACGACGCGATTAATCGAATTACAGCCTTTAGACCTATAATACAGAACTCTGGCTCTTAGGGTTACGACCAAAAATACTTATGGGAAATATTAGCGACTACATCCTTGCCACAATTATTTAACTTGATCTCCGTTACGAAACCAAAGCGCTGCTCTACAATCGCAAATATTTTAATTTGAAAGATATTTTTTATGTCCATGCATACCGGACAACTAGAAAATATGTGCAATAGTATTTAATGTCTAGCACCTTCCAGGTGATTCCACGAAAGAGAAAATAAAAGCAACAGCACACTCTCTTTCTCCCACCACAGGTTATACAATAACTTTTGTATTTAAGAAAATGTATGAAAGTTAGTGACATGCACTACTTAAGGGGTCATTTGTTTTATTAAAAAAAAAATAGGTTTAAGAAAGTGAAATAGGCAAATCGGACATGAAATGTGACGGGCCGCAACACGTGCCAGGAGGCCATCATGTAATAAACGAACGTGACAAATGTAAACTTCGTCTCACGAGACATTTTCCTTTTGCCTCCGTTCCAGGTTTTAGTCGGTTTACAAAAATGTCCTGATCCCTTTGCAATCTTTCTTTTTTTTTTTTTTAACTGAGGCCTGATACCAATTATTTTGACGAGGATGTAACGAAACAACAACATAAGTATGACAGCAGCTTTTCCAGGATAAAAGCTTCCAGTTTTTGGACTGAACATGTTTTTTAGAAACTTCTTTTATTAAACAGCCACGAGGAAACCAAGATTAAACTCTCCTCTTTTTGGGACTCAAAGTGGCTGGGCTAAAGAGGAATTCACAAAAATCTGCGACAAACCCAAACACTCGAAAATTTCAATTTCGTGGGGTGAAAAAACTTACATCAAAATCAATTGAAGCGTGACTTCGAAGCTTGGTGAATAAAATCATAATGAAAGAGTAATTTGGCACAGCAGCCAGACGTTCAGTAGGTAAGAACTTGAAAAGGGACCTCCTGAAAGCCTCAGGGCTTTCAATGTTTTCTTCGCTAATGAAAAAACTACTAAGGCTCTCTATTCCGATCAACTCCTATTCATGACACACAGTTTGATTTCAATAGAAAGAAATGAATGCTCACACAAAAATGGATTCGACATCAGTATTACGACATGGAAAAACAAGGGTGTGTAATATAATCTCTATTATGTATGCGAGGGCTATGCCTTCGCTTTAACGAACTTGTACGAGTCCTTCGAGAAGATGTACATCAATCCAGAAGTTGTCGTCGTGAAGGCAGTCAGGAACCTGAAAGCCACAGGTACAGGATATTAAAAAAAATAAAAGAGCCAAGTTCATTTTTTGAATTTTCCCTAATTTTCGAGATTTGATTCTTATTATTCTAACTTTATTTGGGAGTCCATCAACAATCAAAGGTTGCAAGCTGTTGAAAATTCATAAAGAAGAGAAAGAGCAACAATTCATCCAAAACAAGTTACAATGAAGTGAAACAAAAAACAGCTGAACCTCTACAGTTTACCCAGAGCACACCACATAGTCTTCAAAAAACACTCATTGTACTAATCGATAGGACAAAATAAATAAATGCTATTATTTGTCAAATAAAGATGGCACATAAAAAGTTAAAAAAAAAATAACGATGGAGCCCTTTTGGTAACGCCGTATATAAATTTGTAGGAAAGGCAAACAAAAACATGTCTGTACCATTTCTAAGCATAGATTCTTAAAGGGTCACCTTTAGTCATACAAGCAGTAGCGAATATAAAAGAGGGGGGGGGGGGGGGGGGGGGCCGGCATGCAGAATTCAAGGGGAAGGGGGGGGGGGGCGCCTTGAACACCGCAGCTGTAAATATTTAGGGCAGGGGGGGGGGGGGGGGGGGGAGGGGGGGGGGGGGGTTACGAGCCGTTGTACACAGCATCTGATACGCTGACCCCACCCTCACCAGTATCCGCCCCTGTGTATGAGTAACCATCGATTTGAGTGCTCAGCGCAGATTATACATGTTCCTGGATGCATTTAACATACACTGCACCGCAGCACCCAAGAATAATGTTACACTATAATCTTTACTTAAAGTGCCCAAAAAAACTGCCCAATGAACCCATGGTAGGCGATGGACAGATTGAACAAAAATACAATAATGCCTTGACAGGCACTTACCAAAATGCCTGCAGTGCGGGGTGGCCTACGAAGCTGAACACCGGAGCAGCTAGGGTTGCTGCCACCAGGCCAAGCTGGATTGCCGTGTTAGCCTAGAAATGAAATCCCAGTCTCATTGTGAGCTCTTTTCACGTTTGAGAAAGCTGGAGTGCAAAGAACGCGAAATGCAGGTGAGGGACCCACGCTCGCAACGCCCCGACCTAGAGGCCATCTTGTTCCGACACTGTGCAACCAGTTTGCACGCATGGCCGGACAACTCAACCAAAAAGTATCTTTTAATCGTTGCAAAGGGCATCCGATTTTCAGTGTTTGTTGAACTCACTCCCACACCGGAGGACCTGAAATATTTTCCCATACAACCGACGAGCACCCAGAAATTAATTCCTTCTTTGCGGGTATTGCTGGACAAAGTACGTCAGCATTTTCCGCTCGAGGTGGACATGGTTGTATGACCACTGTGAATTGCGTCACAAACCTAAATAAGGCCTTTTCCTTTTTTGGCCTTTCGAGGACAGCGAGCGGGCAGTTAAATTCTCGAGCGTTTCTTTGGACGACGCGTTTGTGTCGACACTTTGTGTGGATCGTAGGAAAGGCCATTAGCCGCTCGTAAACAAACAAAAGAAATGTGCGACGACGACGGTCAGAGAATTAAAAGTGCTAGAAACACAAATACTTAGTAGAAGAAGGACGTCCACTACGCGTAAGAACTAAATATAATGCCCATTGATTTTGAAGGGAGAGGTCACCTTGCTGATGGTCGTGGGCGTGAACTTGACGGTGGCCAGGGTGACGTCAAAGTACCGCGCCAGGGTCCTCTGGAAAGCGGAAAACACGCGTTGGAGCTTGGGGAAAGACACGGAATCTGTCACAGAATCCGCCTAGGTCGGCGGTTCTCAAACTTTCAGTTGTTGCGCGCCTCCCGACCCACTCAAGTGCAGTTCGGAGACCCCCGACGCATCCTGCGTCTGAGGTCTCGCGCAATGCCGTGGAAAAGCTTTCTTTTCATTTAGCGCGAACCCCCAAGAACGCTCTCGAGGACCTTCTCTGGGGGTTTGTGGACCATAGTGTGAGAGGTCTATAAAACGAAAGAACTCCTTCCTCTTTGGGACAATAATGCGTGGCGGGCAATGGCACGATGCAAATGCAAACTCGTCGGGCAGAAATTGAGAAACCACAAACGGGGAAGCGGTAAACGAAGTGGCCGGAGAAGCATTCTAGGCTGTGTAGACAGGATGGCCATATCTTACGCCGCTGCACCATTCTAAAGTATCAAATTATTTAGAATGGAACCCTCCGAAGCAAAAGTTTTGAACGTCTGCCCGCACATGCATTTTCCGCAAAATCTGGCAGGGAAATCTACGTCGCGTGACCTATATGCCAATTTTGTTTCCCCGCTAAATTTAGAAAATAAATTGACAAAAAAAACATTTTTTTTTTTACTGCCCGAAATGATTGATTCATGTCTAGAGAAATTTAAACGATCGCTCCATAAATACTGCCCCTGGTGCATTAAATGACTTTGAGGATAAAGATAAGCGTCAATTTTCTCGACTCCTGCGTATAAATGGTTGAGCGAGTTGGTTTCGGGTACACTCACGGGAGAGGGGAGAGAGACAAACCGCAGGTATCCAGCACACCCCAGGATGATGCCGTCCCTGGCCAGGATCAGGGCTGTGAGGGGCACTGGAACAAAGGGGCACAAATCCCCACTGAAGATCGCAGTTGGGCTCAAACAATCCAATGAGCAGCAATGTCTTTTTGTGTGTGTGATTTGTTTTACAAGCAGGATGCTTTTTTATACATAATACAATGCACAAAAAGTTCTCACAAACATGGAACTACGATTCGAAATCCGAAACCGCTAGAATGCTGCGCAACCCAATGCACTCAAAATAAGACCGAATGGAAGAAAAGTGGAATTTTTTCGTCTTTAACGTTTCCATTGGATGCTTTCGATCCTGAACAGATTGCAAGCACTGTACGCGCTCCAGCTGGATAATTAGGAAAACCCTGCGCATAGACATTACACTTTACCTTTGGAAAGGAAACCCAACCACTGGGACGCATCTTTAGGGGAGAAAAGCTTGAAGGTGAAAGGAGCAATATAATAAAATTTAAAAAAAACGTGCTATGGTTTTGACGTGCAACCGAAATCTCAGAAATCTCAACCTTCTCTAGAATAAGCCTCGGCTAGGATTCGAACCCACCACCTGGGGATGTGTAGGCCGGCACCTTGCCTCGGATTAACAGAGGCAGCCAAAAGAGTGAGGAAGAGTGACAAAAAAAACGGAGAAAGGAAGCACACGATAAGTTAGGTGCTGTTGTTTTGCTGCGTTGACTCGAAGTTGTTTGAGTGCTCGTCATATTTATTTTCACGTAGAGCACGATGTCGGTGTTTTCGTGCAGACTAAAGCTACAAAAGCTCTATAGGTACCTCTTGTCACCTCCAAAAGCAAGGAAGTTTCGCACATTGAAGTGGTTCTTAAGAGATTTGGTTGTCAGAAGAACGAGCCATGCTTTTGGCGTTTGAAGCGTGTTTTTGTCTTGGTAAGATAAGACATATCTTAACTCTTTCCAAACTATGCACACAAATGTATATATCTAAAACTCTCGCTTTTTTAGGGGAATATATTGTATATTGAGCCATTTTAAGAATTTCGGCAGAATTCTATTCTCTACGTTTGGCAACCAACGTTTGCGAAGAAATGTTTTGCCAGGATAAGTGGCAGGTGGCATCTGAAAGGGTTAATTCTCTACAAAAGGGGGAAATTAGTAATACTACACGAGGATCCAGACTTTTTTTACTACATTTCTTAGGGTGCGAGAGTATTGATACAGAAGCCAAGTTTTCCCACTTCTTCGCGTGTATCAAAGCGTCGCCAGCAATAAAGTCCGCTCAAAATCACCGAAACCCGCATCTATGCCCCACCATTCCGAAGCGGCAGAAATGCGTGGGATTTTTCGCTCTGGATTATGGAACTCCCTGGGCATGAGCACCCACCCGGGATGAGTCCCGCCACGGTGAGGCTGAGGAAGAGGGTGGCAACCAGGCACTTGTCTGCAAGCGGGTCCACCAGCGTCCCCAGGTTGCTCTGCTGGGACGGGAATGCCCGGGCCACCCACCCGTCCAGCTGGGCACAAGCCGAAAAATTGGGCGCTGAACGACGGGGACCCCACAACCGGGACGCGAAAGCCACAACCTGAAATACGGCTTTTCATCCACTCGGAAACCGCCGCTCGAGATCCGGCTGATTGGACCTTCATACTCACTCTTTCATTAGATTTTTCGCAATGGCGACCGAGATTAAAATAAGCGGGCTAAGGCGCCTTTCTCGATGGCTAGCAGAACGCCGAAAGGAAGTTTAGCCAAACAAACTTAGAATATGTAGTTGCACGGAGTCAAAAGATCTGAGTCCCTCTCCTGTCATATTTCTCCGCCCTGTACATCCGGTTGGATTTTGACTTTCTAGGGACACGTATGGTCCCGAGGTGAAAACTTCTTTCAGAGTGGTGTCTCGACGCCGTTCCAAAGTGCACAAAAACCTTAATTCTGTTTTAGAACGTCGAGTCCTGTTGCGAGTTCCAAGTCTTACAAACTGCTCGTCGGGTACTGCGTTGCAAGTGCAGAATAACGTACAGGTAACGAATGAGGAACCTTTCCGCAGGAAACATAAAAAGAACTAAGAGCGGACTGTTTCTTTTCTTCCTCTTCTTTGGAAAGCGTTCCGACTCGATCGTGACGAGTTTGCGGAAAACAAACGGTGATGCTGCCGGTCCCATGGATCGGACACACTGTTGCTGCTCGGCCGGTGCAGCAAACATCTTTATCTAAGGTGTGGGATTGCATGTTTACAGAGCACAGTTTGTGTTAGCCTTCCCATAGTCACCGGGAGGATGAGAACAACAAGAAGGGTCTCGTTTCGACATCACTTTGACATCCGAGAAGCTTGGAGCATGCACACGTGGCATGGCAAAAGGTATCGAGCACGTGCTGGAGGCATTCGAAAGAGACTGTCGTCTCGTCAGCGATTACAGCCACCTAGAAGACAAGGCCTTTCCCCCACCAACCTCCTCACCATCGAATCCACTCCCGCCTACCTTATGTAGGCATTGCCCCTAACGTGCCCCGTACCATCTCGCGACACTAGCACGTGGCAACGCCACGACGGGTGCATCTGCCGCTTTGCGACGACTTTCGTCGAGGCGCTTTTGACGCTTGAGGCAGGTCAGGACCTGCCGATGAGGGGGTCGGGCGGTGGCGTCATTTTCTAGGCGGCATCGATGTAGCGCACCGCAGGCAAAAGCGGCGACCGGACCCTGTTTGCTGCCGTACCACGTCAGTGATGCCCGCAGCTCCAAAGAGGACCAGGGCGGGGGTGTAGCTCCCTGTGACGACGAGGTATCCCAGCACGGGGCTGGAACATAGCCTGGCCAGGGACAGGGCGTTGGGCACCGTGAACACGTTCTCCTTCTGTGTGGGGACACGGGGGGGTGAGGACGGCAACACCCCGAGACACCCGCCACCCAAAACGGCTTTCTCAATGGCGCAAGTCAGGAAGCCTGCTCGGTAAGTGGAGGCTAGGGTCAACATTGTTATCCTTGGTCGTGGAACTTCCCATAGGCACCGTACAAAGAGTGAGCTCTCGACAAATGCGATAAATTAAAAAGATGTATCCTAACGTTACGAATAAAGTTGGGAAACGCGGAACTTGCAGCGTGTTCACAGCGACGCGGGGTGTTTCTTTACGAGCCTTTGTGAGCTCAAGAGTCGCTTCAAACTCCGATACATTTAGCGGGAAAATGTTCCCCACTAAATTTAGCGAGAAAAAAATTGGCTATAATTAGCGGGACTGTAAAAGCTTTTTGTGACAGTTGTTTTCCGATGCCTTATCTTAGTCTCACGTCCCAGTTTGGTCGGGAGCTCTTAAAAACATACTGCGTTAAAGAAAATAATTTGACTTAGTTACTTTTGGTGAGTCACTAAAGGTGCCCTCTATCGGGTAGTCATGGAACAAAAGCTGCGTTTACATGAATGCGATTTAGTTGGATAAACTACCGTTGTTGCATTCAATGCGGAATGGCATAATGCTATAGGGAAGCACATTCAAGTCGCTAGACGGAGCTGCATCGATGCGGTCCATGTAAAAGAAGGTCGCGTCGCATTTCGGAACGGGGAGGATTATGGGACGGCGTTCGCTGTGGGACTGAGTGACCAGCTGAGAACGGTCACTCGTTAGTCGTCACTCAAATACGGCAACCAATCTCATTGGCGGAGAGCGGTCCAGCGTGGTCACCTGCAGTTTCCCTTGAGAAGAAATGCGAGCTTTTATTGCTATCATAAGTGAGCGGAATGTAGCTGAGCTGCTCGGTGAGAACAGCCTCGTCCAAGCCTTGCAAATTACCACTTGCGGCTCCGAGGTGACCCCTAGAGGCTCCACAAGCACGATTGACGCCAAGAGCTTTTAAAACGGGTACCGCAGAACGGACAGTGCTTACTTCGGTATCTTTCCTGCTTGCGCTGGGGTCTCTCCGCCTCGATGTTCAGTTGCGTTTGGCGCAATCTGGCGAGGCGAAGTGCAGCGGCATCCTCCGCGTGGTTGGAAACAATATCACTCGCCAGGACGTGTGCGCTCACGTCGCCTCTGTTCCAGGGGACTGAGCCCCAAGCGCTCGAGTTTTGGTGCCTCTTATGTCTCCTAACTTCTTGTACAGCATCAAAGACAGCGGGTATGATCGTTACGCTCGTCAAAAGTAGTCGAAAGGGCCTCCGTGCACAAAGCACCGAAAAACATTGTCACATTGTGCAGTTGGTGCCAGAAACGCAGCTTTAACTTTACGATGTGGCACGACGTGCCGCCACCTTCACAAAGGACTTGATGTGCATCCATGTAAAAATTGACGCATCGGCTTCGTTCCAAGGATGATTGGAGTCGACGGTTAAGACTCACCCATGCAAATGCACTTATATTCAGATTCTCTATATTTCCTATCTTATATGCACATCATTCTTTTTTGTCTCGAAAATCTTTTGACAGTGTTACATAGAATCATTTCTCATAGACAGCACGCACATCTGATCACGCAAATACCGCAGAACTTTAGCTCTAGTGAAATGCAGTTCCAGGGCCACCTCATAGATGGCGCCAGCGTGCTCTTTCGTACCAGGAAGTACCAGGAAATTGATACAGTGTGCACTGCTTGTGGAGAGGAGGACGAGACGGCTGAGCACTTGATACTCTACTGTAAAGGGCTTCACCCTATGCCTACCGAAGACAACATAGATTTAATAAAGTCATTGGGTTTTAGAGACAGCGAAGGGAGAGTGGATTTCAAGACTGTAGAGATTACCAAGCAAAGATTAAGTGAATGGTGGCAGAAATCGAGAGAAAACTAGGTATTTTCTTATCCACTGATGGCAAGGGGGTTTCATAGCCTCACTTTCTTTGCACTGCGGAGTGAATATAGATTTCACATTTAAATATTCTAAGCTTAAATGGTAAAACAAAATGGCTAGGTGGCGTAAGCTACCGCCCGATCCAAAGGGCTCAGCCGTATTCATCCATCCATCATCCATCCATCCATCCGTCGCAAGAGACAAGAGCTAGGTCCTAAGCAAACGAAAATGTATGAACGGCTTTTAACCCCAAATACTAAATACGTTCGCAAAAACGGGGCAGTATTCCCCACCAGGTTTCCGATCCTCTCGGACACGATCCTCTTGGTCTGGCGGACGTCTGCAGACACGCGGCCTCGCGTGGCCCTCAGGCTGTCCCTGGTCCGGATCAGCGAGTCCCTGGTTGCCGCGATCCTCGCCCGCGACCGCACGAAGGGCAGCGGCCTCGCCGGCTCCTCCAAGTTCTTGGAACCTGGGGAAAGACCGTGTCAACGTTCCCGCAACCATCGCTCACCGAAGGCTCGTACTTGACCTCGTGCTCGTCGAGACGCAAGCGACGCGGGCGCAGCAGAGTGTCACCTCGAAGGCGTCCCAATCGGGGCCCAACAAGCTGCTAAGCCCGAGAAATTCGCGGTGACCGTAGATCTTGTGGAACTGGACACGACGCAGCGCCAACCGAAGAGCCATGGTGCATGTAGTCGGAGCACTTGCCTAAACGTTTCCACTGCGCACTTGTGTGGATTTCGACAAGACTTAACCGTCATGAAGTCAACTTTGCATCACGACGACACTCTCGACGAGTTCTCACGACGGGACATGTATGTCAGAACGAAAGACTCACGTTCACCGCAAATATTTCGACTGTAAACAGGTAAACACGCGTTAACTCCTGGCAATAACCGCTCCCATGGTATGGCTTTGGATTGGATAAAATTGGATTAGAAGCAACTACAGCCAATATTGATTCGCATCGCGTGTTATTTCTGTGACCATTAAAGCTATTTAGCTATTTAAGTATCAAATTGAGCGGATACCAGTTATTTAAGTCTTGTTTTGCTTTTCTATCCGTCCGAAGAGCACCCACTTTGCACAATTTGTTGGCCTAAAAGGCTCTTTAAGTGCCAATCATATCCAATCCAATTTAACGATTGGTGCGACGTGCAGCGATGCGGAAGCAAAGCTCAGGTGGCACGTCGTCTGCACCAGTCTGTACGTCGACTCTTCGAGTTGCTTCGTGCGGTCCGCGCCAGCCGTGCCTCTAAACCGTTTTTTGCTTTGCAACCTACGCCTCAGAACTTTAAAACCGAGGAATCTAGGTACCCGCAGGATACCCACCGGGCCATCGGTGAACCATGGCTGTGGATGCCGCCTTAACGGTACGCAACTTCTCATACCATACAACTCGTCCCCGTTGCTCTAACATACCGGTCCAGTGGGACCGGTAGCGTGCCTGGCCTTGATTTGTACGGAGAATTGTTACGCTGGCCAGTTGAGAGTTCGTGAACTCGATACATTCATTTCTTTGTCAAACCTGACCACGCGCCATAAAGCAGCGATTAGCGATAGGAAGACTGCACTTTTCGTTGCTTACGTATTTCTGCAGGTATTCGCAGTTTTCGTTTGCAGACGTGTTCTTTCCGCGCAGCTGTACTCAAGTGCGTAGATTTTTTTTCTTTAAGCTCGTTTTGTCATTTAACTAACGTTAGTTGAAACATTTAAGTATCTTAAGTAGCGTTATGAACGTGTCCCATTAATTTATTGTTTTCAAGGCGCGCGCGTCCAGAGAATAGACGGGTATTAAAAGGAAAATCAAAGTAGGTTTGCGCTCTACCCGCACCTGCGTCGATATGCAATGTTATATCTTGGTTGGTTGTCGGATTAAACGGAAAAATATACGCGGAGAAAGAACAAAGGATATATATATATGGTGATCACCCGGAACCTGAGTACTCAAATGAGTAAAGATACACATTTTATTATTAACTTTTTATTCCCCACTAATAGCTTAGTACTTTTTTTAAAACATCTATATAAAAAAAAGCGCATGGAGCAAAAAAAAAAAAAAGTATATGGTGAATTCGCTTTGAAAAATTTAGTTTTGGGTGTTAAGTGTTGGAACACAATCCAACACAGTACATCATTGTTCTGCAATTGGGCTGCTCGGAAAATGGTGCACAGGACATGGCAAAATTCAATGAAATCTAAATATGTACTGATGGCTCTTAAAACACTTCGAAAGAAAAAAAAAAAGCCATCACGGCACATTTCTGCATGCAACATTTACCTAGGTGATCTACCTGCACTAACAAAGCTTCTAATGTCGAATGCCTTCTGCGTATGGTGGAAAGCGTTTTAAGGAACTTGACCGTGCCGCCCTTGAACGCCGTTCTCTCGTCTAAAGGGGTCACCAAGGTTGCAGTACGAATCCATTTGACCTGTTGCCGGAATCTGGTTCACCTTGAAGGTATCGGCGGCCAGAGCACGCACACACCGACTTGGAATGCCGGCCGGAAATTAAAGATAATTGCATCAGTAGCCGGACAGCAATCTGGGGCCATCTCTCACGTGGAGCTGTAGCACATGCATTTATTTTCAAAAGGCGCAGCGCGAAATGGTCTCTCGTCACACACACAAATGTTTTTCTATGGGGAGGTTTTTTTTCTACACTGTAAAATAAACATGAGGAGAGGGGAAAAGGGCAAGGTTTTCGTCGATACCTCGTCCAACTGTGCCCGTTCAGTTCCACCGGTCATATTGGCGGGTTTGGTTTAACCGACGGCATTAGAAAATTAAGGCAACCATCGTCACAAATGCGAAAATATACTGTCGCCGTATTCCGTGGCGGGTTTACTATAGCCAAGACAAGCCCCTCCCACAAAGCTTTCTGCAAGCCACGATTAGTGGTTTCCTGCTCTCCAACATCAGTTGAAAGAGTGGAGGGCTCTGTGGCAAGAACTTTTCCCGCATTTCTGAATCTGCCGCGGGCCACAGAACATGTTGCGATATCTTGAGCGAACGGTCCTTTAGCCCGAGCTATCAACGTAGAGTTACCCGGAGTAATTTTTATGACTAAGAAATAGATACACAAATATAGGTGCAATTACGGCACGCCTCGCTACTGATATGAGGTGTCTAGGACTTTTTTTCTTCTGCACTGAGGCTTAAGGTCTGCTTTGACATCGCAATTTTCCTAAACAGAAAGGAGAGGACCGATTTGTGTCCGAATCTGGCGTGTGTGACGTTACCTTACAAATTTCCTTCTTACGAAATGCCTCATTTATAAGTAGTCCCTTGGCACACTTGTTAGGACAGAGTTCATCAGATAGGTGGCGCCAGTATGTGTGTTCTCCCATCATAAGAGATATGCAGTGGCAAGTGTGTGAAGCAGCCACGATCGTAAGGCGCACTGACTTCCGTCACAGAACGGCGGCGAGGCAGAGGACTCATTCCTTTACGACCCGAGCCTCCTGGAGGGCCTGGACGACCTCAAAGGCCCGCCCTGCCCCACCCTCAGGGTTCGGCCCTTGAGCGTGGACGACTACGACCGGGGTAAGTCGCTTCGGCTGTGTACGTCATGGCCGCGTTTCACGGACGTAACTAGACGCGCAAAAGGTGGCGTTGCGTGCGTGTTGCACGTGCATTTGGATGTGCAGAAGACAACATTGCTCGCACAGTTCGCATGCATATTAAAACGTTCGGAAGACAATATTGCTTAGTGCGTCGGTTGCAATTACTGCGAGTCCTAACGGCTTGTTCACACACTTGCAACCGAGTAGGACCGACTGAGATAAGACCGGCTTTTAGACCTCTCGCAACGACTTAGGACCAGCGCTATAGGTGGAGCCAGCAAGGTTACTGAATGTTTTCTCGGACTGGTATTAACTTTGTCTGATTGGGAAGCAAGATGATGCTCACAATTGGTCCCCCGCAGTCATGTGAAAAAAAGAAAATTGGGGTGTGTGTATATGTTTATACAGCCTAAAACTTAGTGCCTAACGGGCAACTTGTCTCCCAGCTATAGATGAGAAATTTACCTCGTGCAGTACAACCGCTAGCCTAAGGTCTGTAATGTGCACCTTGCAGTGATGATACATGACCGCACACTGGTACGATGGTCATCCAGATCGAAACGAGCAGGGGTGGGGATTGAACCCGGGAAAATCATACACATAGAAGTATCCCAGTCACGTGACTACGCTGCGGAACCCAGGGATCCTGGCCAGGATCCCTGGGTTCCGCAGCGTAGTCACGTGACTGGGATACTTCTATGTGTATGATTTTCCTCTATATTTGTATCAGCCATAGCTATAGCTCTTTCCAAAATGAGTGCCATGTGACCAGTGGCATGGCATAGTATAGTGCCATGAAATGGCCTCATCCTAGTTTTGGGCGTTATCTTAAATTTGTACTTGAATGTTACATTAAGTTTGTTATTTTGAAGGGTTCCTGGGACTCCTCAGTCAGCTCACAGTTGGCGGCGATGTGTCGAGGGAGGAATTCCTTGGTGAGTAGTCCCTCGAAATGTTCCTTCTTTGCATGACAGACATGGCAGTGGCTATAATTTGTTACGTCTCCCCATCTCCAGTAAGTTACTTGGGGTAGCAAAAGAAATACAATTTAAAAGAGTGGAATGCGCAGCTTGACAAATTAAGTCTATTGTGGTGCTACGAAGAAGGCCCAGAGTGATGTGTGGACACCTCCATCTAATAAATGAGTCACTGTCTACTGCATCGATTCATTTTTTTGTAGAAGGTTTTATGTACACTTCACAACTGCACTATTCTTGCAACCGCAACCTTAGCGTATAGTTAATTTAACCATATAAATGCCTCGCAGAAGTGGATGATTGCCGAGCCAAAAGGGAATCTATACAGAAACTTGCTCGGGAGAAAGTCACACCTTTCATATATTGCTGAACCCAAGGTTATGACACCATTTCCAGCAGACTTGGAAGGTTAGCAGGATTAGGTAATTTGCAGGGAGGTAGCAGCATTAGGTCCTAGGCTTTACCTACACACCCCTTGCTCATGAAGGTGCTTTGTCATTTTATGACTCAATGGTACATAGACCAGCCAGAACAGAAGAGGTACCTTTAGTTTTCGATTAACTCACAATGGCAGGACAATGCATGGCCAGCACAAAAATTGGTTATGGAAGCTGAAAAAGGATGAATGCCTGTAATCTTATGGCAAAAGTACCTTCATACCAATCACGTATGGATGCTCATAATTATGGTTAGCTTGCGACAAAATCAAGGACACTGCGGGCAAAAGCTGTTAGCACGTGCCGATTCATTGTACGTTAGCACCGCCTAGTAGCAACATGAGGAATCCTGGTTCGTCTTCCCAGACACTTATGTACCCAACATGCCACCACCTCATCACGCGAGTGACAAGGGCACTTGGTCCGAAAGTACTACGTCTGTAGTTTGACAGCTGATGTGCCGTACCCCCATGGGAAAGAACTGCAGGACGAGTCAAAGAGCGAGCAGTTTGCGGTTTGCCGAACGACTATAGTTTCTTCTCATCGATCTTTCCGTTTTCATTGGTTGCAGCCAGGTTTCACGCCATGCGTTCTCGGCCCGGCACCTACTATGTGACCGTGGTCGAAGACACGGAAAGAGGGGCCGTGGTAGGCACTGCCACGCTCGTTGCCGAACTCAAGTTCATCAGAAACCTTGCCACGGTGAGCGATCATGCCGTCTGGGCATGCGTGCCTTCGTGAAGCGTTGAATGCGGAACGTGTTTGGTGATGGAGGGTATTAGCAGCTCGGAGAACGTGGGGCGGAAGCTCACGCTGCAGAACACGGGGATCGTGCGGTCATTGCACAGGATGGTTGATCGCAACCACCCTGTTGGAATCAACAGGATGGTTGAAACACAAGTTTATACTCGGAACTGGATGACTGTTGTGTCCCGTGCAACTACCTTGTCAAGATGATGCAGGATCCTTTGTGTTGCAAGTCTTGGTCCGAAGCACCAAACTGAAAAATTGTTGCACTCTCCCCTGCAGGGATGCTGGACTCCCATAGTTAAATGTCTGGGACATGGTAACCACGAAACTAACCCACCCTCACTTCCCCCTCCCCCCCCCCTTCCCCGCAAAAAAAGAATGACTGCAACATTTGCACTGCGAGACTCGTTCGATCAGTTTTGAGATGCGCATCTGTTCAGGGGTTAACATCCCAAACAGAAATATGTTTCAGAACCGCTCTTAACTCAAGACGAGTCTCGCCATGTAAATATTGCATCAAAAGGTCTTTGCTTTTTGGGGAAAATTCATTTTGTGACATGCGTGGTTTTCCCATGCACTTAAAAGGCAACTCTGGTCAAACTTTGATGTTGAAAAACAATGCGGTCCTATGTTGTATAATCTGAAAAGCCTATGTGTAAAATATTACGACGCAAATCTGCCTAAAAGTTTCTTAAACCAACCAACAAAGTCGGAGCGGCAACATGCACCAAAATCTGCTTAATCTAGCAGGCAATGCGCAACGTGTGGACTAGCGCAGTCAAGGCTGCCGTGTGGACACAGCCAACACTGCTCAGAATGTCAACAACTGGAAGAATTGTTTCGTTTGTTTCTTACTTTTTGAGGCGCGGAGTACGAGGGCAAGAGAAAAAAAGATTGTGGGGCGCGCGCCGCTTTCGTTGACGGCATAGCCGACGTCTCCGTTTTACGTGATGTCCAGTAGTTACGGGGACCTTGGTGTCCAGTAGTTACGAGCAGGTCCAATGTTCCCTGCCGCGGGCAAAGTTTCGGTTTTGCTTTGTGATTTTCGTTTCAACTCGGTTTGCAAGAAAACTATTTAAATTTTCGGACAACGAATGGCATAAAACTGTTTATCAGAATTTTTGACACAATAATCACCCGTAATCTCAGAATTTATAGAATTGACTGGAGTTGCCCTTTAAAAAAAAAAAGTTTTTTGGGGAGTCTGGGCAGCCAGAGTCTGTGTCTGCAGCCAATATGAAAGCCCTTCTTTTTTTCCAAGAGCTGAGTCGGGGGTGTTGTTTCAGAGGGGCCGTCTCGAAGACGTGGTGGTCTCCAGCGATTACCGTGGCCGTCAGCTCGGAAAACTGTGAGTTGCGCATGTCCACAATGTGGCCAGCGGCCGTTGATATCTCAGCACCCTGCCAGTGATTCCGCGATAAACCTGAGCGGCGGTTATCTTGGCTTCCTGGGATGACTTTATGCAAAATTTTTCATATCGTAAGTTGGCGTTCGCATAAGCTTCCTTACTGTTGTGAAATGGGGATTTCGTTAGCTGAAGTGGATGTGTAATGGCAAAAATTGCAACGACTTCTATCTCTGAGCCTTTCGCTATTCCGCTTGATACAGCGACCCTGCATCGAGCATGCCTTTGCTTCCACATCCAGATTCACCTTTGTTTCCTATTAACCCTTTCATGCTCACTGATGTACCTGTACGTCAGCGGGGGAGCGTCCCGCACGGTTGTTGACGTACATGTATGACCGCGACTGCTCATTGAATTCCCGTTTCTGCTTGTACGGGCGCGTTCACTAAAGCCCCTCGATGTGTTTGCGTTTGTCTTGCAAGTAGCGTCAAATGCGCGAGTGCACGAGGCCCATGTCTCGAGCGGCCCTTGGAAGCAAATGGCGGCGTAGCACTGAAATGAGCGGGCCTTGGAAGCGAATGGCGGCGGAGCACCCGCTCATGGCACGTGTCTCACGCGCTTCCACAACAATGGTTGGCGGTACTTGTAAAAAACGCTTTTATCAAGGGGCTTTAGCGTTCACGGGGACGTGCTGCCACCTGGCAGGTTCGGAGGGAACTGCGACCATATAACTGTTGTCGTGTTTGTTTTGGGCTGGCTCTTTGAAATTGCGAAACTGGACGCGCTGTGCATGTGCTACTTTCGAGATGGCCGCACGTGCCCGCTGCTCCGCAAGTAGCGGAGATCAGAGCGATGGCTCTTCGGGTTCAGACTTTCAACCCTTCTCGGTACCCAAGTTGGATGACAGCTCGACATCCGACAGGGGCCTGTGTGTGGAACTCTGCTTCAAGGACTACCACACTTTGAAGTACTAGAAAGTTGACAATTAAAAGATTTAGTCCTTTTTGTTTTGTTCAACCTTGAGCGAGCGTGCTGCAGATGTTTGAAAGTGTGTATTACTATTTATTTTAAGTCTTACATCTTTTTATGCGACAATAAACTAGTGTATCCTCTTTGCTGTCACAACAAGGAAAGGGGTGTGTCTTTGGACAAAAATGCAACCATAGAGAGGCTAATACAAGAAAAAAAAAATCTGTTTTAAAGTTTTGCTTTTTCTAGAAGTCTCATAAAACAGCATGCAGTCTTTTTTTTTTTTTTTTTTTCCGAGACATTTTTGAAGGAAATTTACTTTCAGGACACGGCACTCAGAAACCTAGTGGAAACTGCCGAAACCTAAGTCGTGGTGCACGGAATGAATCTTCAACTGGGACATTTACCACGTGCCCGTTTTTGTCTATCGACGTTTCAACCATATAATGTTGCGGATTGGCACCACCTTCCCGGCAGACACGCATTCCGCCATACCTAGCTTTGGCTGTCCAGACGACGGAAACTCGTAAGCTGCGGACTAGCTCCTGCTACTGTGCAGCTTGGAGTATACGTTGAAGCGTGCACCCGGACTGTTATCGGATCCGCAAAAGCGATTTGCCAAAGTGCTCCCAAAGTCACCATCGGGTCGTTTGCCGTTGAATTGATTTCTCAAGCGCAAGAAATCGTCTCCTTTGTGCTAGAATTGGGATGGACATTTAAAAGCTGGTTTACACACTTGCAACTGCTTACGATCGAATGCATCTCTTAGGACAGACAAGACATGGCGCCATCTTTATTGGGTCTCGACATTTCCACGTCACGTCTCGTTGATATGGATACCCGCTATAGGGACACCATTTTCGGGGACTGGGAAAATGGATGCATTTATGTCTCCTTATTATGGACCATTTTTTTGGTAACCAAGGTGTACATATTAACGAAACATTGTCGTTACTCCTACTTTTTTTTTCTGGATTCTTCCGTCTTTTTGGGATCAAAACGCTTTGACGATGTCATAAACCACCATTTCTCGTAGATGGTAGTTACGTTTGATCAAACATATACTGCAAAATCTAAGCTCTATTGAAATGCAGCTCCTGGGTCGCCTCACAGATGGCGCCAGCGTGTTCTCTTGTCGTAGGAGATCGCGAGAACTCGGTCGTAAGCAAACACAAGCGTGCAATCAGAATGTAAGACGGCTAGGAGCGGACCAGGGTGTAAGATAGGCTGGCGGAGAAACGACAGTCGGTGGGGTGACGCGATTGCATCCCTGCTTCAAGAAAGTTTGTGGCACTCCACATAGATGGCGCCACGCGGAGAAGAAACGAAAAAACACGATATTCTCGTCCATTTTGTGAACGATGCGACCGACCGGCAATTTATTTCGTAAACTGCATGCGGACCACACAAGCTTAATCGAGAAAACTTATAATATATTCAATATATAGGTTCCGTTTTTTCTGTAGTTTTACATTACAAGTTCAAGGGGTGTGCGGCACAATGAATGAAGTCGAGTTGAGAAGTCCGCCATAGCGCGTCGTGAATGCATCGGCGGCGTTGACTCCACTCCGCGTGCAGATGTCTTCGGTGATCTAGCTTCTAAGTTTCTACCGTTTACATGCGAGCAAGGCAAGGCAGGACGGACTCGAGTTCGTACACGGAGCTCCGTACGAACTCGAGTCCGTTGCCCTCTGTATACCGTTGGGCCATCTATCCACGACCTCTACTCGCCCTTCCTCGCAGGGTCGTCCAGACCGTGGTGCATCTGGCCCGCAAGGTCGGCTGCTACAAGCTGACCCTGGACTGCAAGGACTCCCTGACCAAGTTCTACGCCGACAACGGATTCACGTTGGAACCCGGCAACGCAAACTCCATGAGCCTGCGATTTTTGGAGGCCGGCGACGCCCCGCACTGACGGGGGCCCGCACTACTACAGCACCCGCGATGAGTCTCTGACCGGCGCGTTTACTGCGCCCAAAAAAGCGGTACCACGTTACAAGGGGTCGCTCTTCGGCTCGGCGGTCTGCGGAAGCTTAGGCGGTCGGGAGTTGGGACTACGCGGCGACGGCAACGCCCATATTCACTCTTACTTTTTGCCGCTACTTCTGGTGCCGACTGCCAGGATTGCGACTTCTGACGGTGTGACACTCTTACTTTTGTGACGTCGTTTGGTGCCGCTCGGGACCATTTTTGGCGTATTGAAGGGAAACGACAACAAGCAACGGTCGTCCAGGACTCGTTGCAGGTTCCATAGCTCGACGGTCCGGGTAAACGTGGGGACGTTACGACGGAAGGGGACGAAGCACGGAGCGTCGGTCCACCTTGACGTGTCGGTGTGTCCGGCGACATGCTTCCGTGTCTCGTGGCAGAAAAAGAGAGTGCAATATATATAAATAAAAAGAGTAACTCGCATTCCCTATCCAAACTGAGTCCGTGTCAACTCTCCGTAGAGTATGTACAATAACATAGAGGAAAAGGTATCGCAGTTTGGAAGCGGCCGAAATGTGGGACCTTTTGGTGCCGCTTTTATACACGCCAAGAAGCGGGAAAACAAACGCGGCATTGCGCGTCGTATAAAAATAAAGTTGACGAGCTGTCCTACGGCTCCAACTTGTCACAGCAAAACGAATGCACCTACCCTGTCATCCACTTTCTTTCTCTGTTTTTCTGTCGCTTTCTCATTTTCTCTGGGGACCACCAATGTTTACGATTTGCCGCATTCTGCCCCCGTCTTTAACACCCGAAAATTTGGCAGCCTCTCTAATCGTAATTGGATTGTGCCGCTTTGGGAAAACAATGAGGGTTGCATACGGGAAAGGGGATAAAAAGTACAAAGTCACTTGCCAAAAAGCCAGGACCGACGCAAATTAAACATTTGATGCGGCCTCTCGTGGCAACCGGCCAGGAGTGCATGTCTAGCCCCGCCCTCACGACTCCATGTTGCAGCTTGGTACCGCCAAGGTGGCAATTTGGCGCCATTATTTTGCGGGGCTCGTTCGTCTCGAAGCCGTCGCGTAGAACATCAAAAGTGGAGAAAGATGAGACCACATTATACCCAGTTTTGCACAAACCTCTTACCAGATGGCGTGACACGTCCCGTCGGGATCGACCGCTTGGCCCCCCTAGTATCGCGTGCCATTGATGGCGGCGAGCCAATCGTCGAACTAGATGAACTTTACGTCGGGCCTAAATAATTTGCGAGTTGGTGTCTCGACCTTCCAGAAGTAAAGAACAAGAAACCGCTTTTGCCTGCATGTCCTAGTTTTCATTTTAAAAACTGACAAAGATTGAGGTTTTCGACACCTGTCAACTCCTTCACCATCTTCCAAGTCACGTGCGCTGTGACGTGAAAGGGGACGCGCAGGCTTCCGGTGAAGCTCTCTCCAGAGCCATCAGTAAGCATCGACACCTCACCCGCTCGCGGCCACGTGCTTGCGCAGTGCGATCAGCATTGCAAAAGGAGGAAAGTGCCAACGTCTGGGTCCGGCCATCCCCGTCCGGCTCTGCCCCCACCCCCCTCTGGTTTTTGGCGGCTGTTCGCGGTAGCAGATAGAGCTGACGGTTTTGTTGACCTACGATAGATGGCGCCGCTAAACCTCCGTATAATAAAAGTTTTGTCAATGTTACCAGGTTTTCGACACACTTATATATGTTGGAACGACAAAATTTATGGAAAAATTGCCTTTTATCGAGCAGGTATTTGCACAACTTCTTATCTTTTTACAAGTACCCCACTGACGTCACGCCGCGTGGTTTTCATGGCCACCACTCGCGGCTGCAGGTAGGGAAATATTCCGAGTTTCGCCTCGCATTTACGCGGCGGAATCGCAACATTTTGAAGGAAGGAGGTGTGTTTTCTGTCCTTTGTGACAAGATGAACAATGTCAAAAGTAGAAGATGCAAATTCTTTCAACGTTCCTTTAAAGACCGACGTATGCTTTCCACTTTTCCCGCCTCCGGCTTTCCTATATCCTTTTTACTTTGCCCCAACTTGGCTACCTCTGCAGCTTAGGAGAGGATGTACCGAGAGGATTATCTCCTCGCAAAACACCGAGGTACAATCTAAGCTTGTCATAACATAACTTGATTTGGACCATAATTTCGGTCTGTTGTAAAAAGAATGTGTTGTATGCAGACATGAAGTTGAGTCCATGGTATTGGGAGGAAAACCAACCGAACTTCATTCATCGGTATGTTATGTCCAAATATCTGTTGTAATAAGCTTAGACTGTAGTACGTCGGCCTTTAAAGGGAAGCTCCTGCGAAATATTGACGGTCATAAAAGTCAACAACATTTTCATCGTGCGCTAAATATCAACCCTTGAGTATGTCTACAAAATATATCGTCAAAGAAATCATTTTCTTTCCAGAAAACGAATTTTGAAGTTTACGTGCACCTCCAGATCGCTGGCTGCCATTCCACTGGCAACAACGAGCGGGGGCGAAGTTTCTCAAGTCTCGTGGTGAAAATCTTATATTTGCCGGTCATTGCTTCACTCTGTCAATTTCGCTGAATCGTAATTCATTATTTTCCGCCACGGACGCTCACGATGGCCTTTTGACTGCCTCCGGCACCGGGAGAAACTGGCTCGAGCTGCCTATGCGCCAATGTTTATACAGCATATGACATCAGAAACAAGACGACGGATCAGTTGGGTTGCAGGTTAGTTTTGTTTTCGGTCTTGTCATATTTTTACGATAAATGATTTATAACGTTTTGGGACAATGTTCTTATGACTCTAGGTTATGTTTTTTGCGCTCTTTCGGAAATTATGTCTAGTCAAAAACGTTCAGATGGATGCCGGAGGTGAATGGAACAAAGACAGAAATGTAAAAAGCTTTTCAGCTGCTTTACTGGTTTTATTTGGATCGGTCATGCTGTACAAACAACGCCACTAATCCATTTGCAACCGCCCCGTGCGAGAAAAAGAACTCTCAAAGAAACGACAGCTGTAACTACGTACAGGAAAACTAGGTCACAAACGAGACGATTCGTCCTTCCCAACACAAGATGCACAAGGCAAAATCAATTTTGGGTATCTTTTGGATAAAAAAAAAAAAAAAAAACGACTGGCTGCCAACATAATTGAAACAATAAAAGACCATGCTTGCAAGAACCAAACGGCCTTTCAAATTATAGTAACACCTAAAAATACCATCTGCGCCGTGACACCGAGCAGAAGGTTTCACCCCGCTGAGTGCCACGGCGTTTTAGGTAGACATATTTCCAGCCTCATTAGTTTAGGGTACTCGAGATTCAACTGGTTACATTTAGGCCTAATCGACTTAAGTTTTCTCCATCGTAATCGGCCATTTCCAACCGGAACGATCTACCCGAGCACGTCGTTTGCATCCCACAAGTGGACACTTTCCAACCCGCCGTCGCCACCGCGTTTAACGTTGGCGGGAAACTAGGCACGCCGGATGGCAGGGCCTCACTGGCAGTGGCTCTTGAGGTCCAGCCGGGGTATGATGTTCATGGAGAGCAGCTCCTGGAAGAGCAGCTTGCAGGCATAGGGCACCCGCAAGGAGGCCATGGTGCGTGAGGACCGGCAGAAGTGGCACCAGCGCGAGTAGCCCAGCAGGCCGCAGCCGCGGCACACGTCCACCTGGCAGGCATCGCTCGACAGCATCAGCCGCTCCAGGAGCAGCAGGCTGGCGCCGTGGCCGATCAGGCAGTCCCGCTCCATCTCGCCAAGTCGCAGGCCGCCGTCTCGTGACCGACCCTCCGTCGGCTGCCGCGTGAGCACGGCGCGTGGGCCGCGCGCCCTCGCGTGCACCTGGGGGAGAGCGGTCGCGTTGGTGCCTCAGCCTTTGCGGATGGCTGGACGTTGCCGAAAGGCCGGTTCACACACCCGCCTTCGGGTGCGGTCGACCGCTTACGACGAGATAATGCACATACAGTAAAGGCCATCTACGAGGTGACCCTGCATCGCACTAGAGCAAAGGATTTGCGGTATCTGCAAGATCTAATGTATGTACTGTCTATAAAAAGTGGTCATTTATACCATTGTCAAGAGTGTTTCAAGCCCAGAAAGGATGATACGCAAATAAAATATAGGGTGTCTGAAATGCCAAGAGTCAATCTAAAATGGGTTGTAAAAATCGGCGCCTGCACGTAGCAACCTGATCTTTTCATCAAAGATGTATATCCCAGGTCGGTTTTATGTCGTAAAATTACGATGCATAGCTCCCTTTCTGTAAAATATGGGGCCAAAAAACTTACCAGGGTCAACTGCGACGCAGATGACAGTGTCGAGTGGTTAGGTATGTATGGCGCACGTAATGATAGATGGCGCTTCCCTCTTATCGAGAGTGCTCCAACGGGAGAGGTGCATCAGGAGAGCTCCCCGACGGCAGAGTGCTCGATATCGGAGCGCACGACATAAGAGCCCACACCATTAGAGTGTGCATCACAAGAGTGCATGTGTGCGCCTTCAAACGCTTGACGTCATTTAATTGGCTGAGTATGCAGACCTGTGGGAAGTCATTACTGCGCAGTTGTCATTGCTGCTGCTCACAGAGTGCTCCTTTTGAAATTGGTCACTTCTTTCTCTCTCGAGACAATTCAACATGCTAGTTTTGTCCCCCAAAAACAAAAATTCCAATCGCAGATCGATACGGCTGAAAGTCGAGTGCCTTTGAGATAATAAAATGAAATGAAATGAAAAATGTTTACTTCTGGCAAACGTCGGGGAAAACATTGCATTTGGGATGTGCTAGAAATCAATTCGTTCGTTCCAATGATTAATGATGAAATATGAAGCTGCACTCGCAAATTATGCAGTGCTGGCTGTTGTGTAACAGTTAATGTATAAGAACACAGTCACTACATAAGGGGACTGGATACTTGAACGTTCTGCAACGGTAAAAAGCACCTTGGTGACTGCAGCGGTTCTTAGCACTCTTGTGACGCGTGCTCTAATGACACGTGCTCTCGTGTAGCGGCGCTGCCCTGTCATGCACTCGTCGCAGCGCTCTGCTGTCGTGTGCTCTCGTGGCGCCCTCCCCTACAAATTCAAGTAACGTGAAACGAGAATGCTTTGACTTCAGTTTCCTATTTTTTTTTCCCCTACCACAGTCTTGGTTTTAAACGTCATGATTAACTATCACCAGCTCACCTGCACATTCACTGTATTTTCATTGATGATACCACAGATCGCAGACATGGCAAGTTTGCGTTCCACGGTGCGATAAGTATGCGGAAATTTGCTATGAACTCTGTCGTCACAGGCACGGCAGCAGAATGCGGATGCAAACAGTGCGATATACCCAGATATACACACAAGAGCCCACTACAAACTCGGGTGTCACAGGAACCGATACCGTGCACTCAGGTCGTGAACTTGTGCCCTAATCAAAATAGAAAAAGACTAGCGTCGCAGCCATCGAAATAGCAGGGTCGAACGCTGGGGCAAGACTGACTCCGGCTCACGTGTACCCACATGGGTTTCTGGAATATTCGGCGTAGAATGTTTGGTGCATATAACATTCGCACCTCAATCAGGCGACAGGGTTCTCGAACTTATGAGAACGCTAAATTGAAAAAATAAATAAAAGACGCGCCACTCCCAGGAATTGAACCCGGGGCCTCCGCACAAAAGCCAAGCACAGTAACCCCTCGGCCACGCACGCGCTCGCTCGGCGACGCGTGTTTCAATTGACAGCAGCTCTAGGCAGACCGGCGTGTGTATCACCTTGTCCATGACCATGTGCTTGAGCTTCTGATAGTAGATGGGGCCGAAGTAGATGTAGGCCGACAGCGGCTCTCCCGTGATGCCCGAGGTCAGGCAGTCCTTGCCCCGGTAGTTGAAGCCCCTGCGGATCAGCTCCTCCCCGACGTCCTGCACCTGGGGCAACCACACAATGGACACATCGGCACAGGACACATTACACGCACGACACAAAAGATGCAGGGACCCCACTCAACTACTAGAAAACTCATTGAAGTAATTCTCACGGAACAACTGTCTCCATGACGACCTAGAGTTCCCACTCTCAGAGTCTCAACAAAAGAGGGCAAAATCAGCCTACTCTGAAACTCGGAGAAATGAAAAGGCCAAGCACTCGGACACCCAACCTTTTGGGACAAGCCGATCGAGGAAGCGGGAAGTCAAAGACCGTACGAGCCACTAACCTTGCTCCCGCCAAATGCCGTGCCGTAGTGGAACTTGCCGTTGAGCACGCCGGCCTTGCCCGCAAGCAGCTCGATGAGCTTTCCCACAGTCATGCGGGAGGGGAACCCGTGGGGGTTCATGATGAGGTCTGGGCAGACCCCCTGGTCGCTGAAGGGCATGTCCTCCTGCTGGGCAATGAGCCCCACCACCCCCTTCTGGCCGTGGCGGCTGCTGAACTTGTCCCCGATCTCGGGGCGCCTCGTCTGGCGCAGCAGCAGCTTGATAAGGAAGGCCTCCTCCGTGTTGGACGAGATGAGCACCTTCTCCACGTGCACAGGCTCCAGGCCCTTGTAGGCCACGGGCACCTCCTTGTGCTCGGGCGGGGACGGCTGCCCCGGCTGGGCCCCGACCGAGCTTGCAGACGGCACCCACTTGTTCACCAGCACCTGGGGGGAGCGGTCTCGCTGCCTGCAACGCCTCTTCGACCGGCGTCCTCCAAAGCGTTCTCTCCACTTCTACCCCGAAACAAGTGTCTCGCCCTTGCCGTCCACAATCTTTGCAATGGCACGGATGTGGAAGATGCCCATTCTGCTGCAGGTTATGCTCCAGGGGCTCTAATCTGGACACTCAGCGAGAGTCGCCAAAACATTCAACCACCGCGATTGGACGGCGCCGAGGTCAAGCACGGCGCCGGCCAATCATGGCCATGGGATTCCTCGCCGACTATTTTGCCATGTCCAGACTCCCAGTTTGACAGTCCACCGAAGCTTCTGCAGCCGGGAATCGGGACGCCGCAACGACAGCAACACTATCCTGCCACAACTTCTATGACTAACTGCCAGGATCGCGGTCTCTGACAGCATTACGCTCCTGCTTTTGCGACGTCATTGGCTGTCGCTTAGAGACCACACTCAATGCACGGGTAGAATAGGACCAGTCCATGACATGTTCCAGGCACCATGACCTCGCGCTTTGGGCCTCGGAGATGTTACGCGGCTACCCAGTGTCATCCTGACGAGGATGACAGAGGGTACGGAAATGGGAGGGAAAGGTCACCCAGTGTTTCTGAAAACCTCTCGTCCCGCTACCTGACTTTACGCAGGGCCGCAGAGATGGAAATCCGACCAGTTTACCTTGGAAATCACCGGTTTCTGCCCTCACCTGCCGATTTTCGATGCGGTCCCCAGGCCGCGCGATGCCGTCCGTGTCCAGTGGCTCGTGCTTCCAGATGGGCTTCATGGTGGTGCTGTCCACCAGGGGCCCCATCACCCGGTCGTGGCTCTGGTTGGCGTACCGCTTGAGTGTGCACTTCTGGTGCCGGTACACCTGGCACCGCCCGAAGCCTCGGTCGATGGACGACCGGTTCATCACGATGGCGTCCTCAATGTCATAGCCGCTGTAGCTCATGACGGCCACGGTCGCATTCTGGCCGGCGGGGATGTCCTCGAAGTGGATCAGCTCGATGGTCTTGGTCTTGACCATCGGCCGATGCGGGTAGACCAGGAGGTAGAGCAGTGAGTCGATGCGATTGCGCTGGTTCAGCGCAATGGTGCCCATGGCCTGCTTGCCCATGGCGCACTGGTATGTGTTGCGCGGCGACTGGTTGTGGTGCGGGTACGGGATGAGGCCGGCGCAGACGCCGAGCAGCGTGAACGGCTCGATCTCGAGGTGCGTCGTCTCGGGCCCTATGTCACGCTCACGCAGAGCGATGTAGCTGTCGTTCTCCTCGTTGACATCCAGGAACTCGACCAGGCCACGCCGGACGAAGTCGTTGAAAAAGAGGAGCCCCCGTGTCAGGTCTTCTAGGTGGGCGGCCGTGACAAGCGGGCGGCCGCCCTCAACCACGATGTAGGGCCGGCACATGCGCCCACCGTCTGCCGAGATGTTCACGCAGCGCTGCACGCGGCTCGAGTGAAGAGACACAAACTCGGAGAGGTGCCCCGACCGCCGGAGCAGGCGCAGCGTCCGCAGGAGGCGCGCGTGGTTATGGACCACGCCAATAATGCCTCCGTTGAGGAAGACCAGGTAGACCGACGGGTCCGAGAGCTCCTCTCCATTGAGCAAGTGCACGTCCTCGACGCCGAGATTGAGAAGCAGACGGACGATGGGAGCCTCCTCCAGGTCGGTGGTGATGTGCGTCATCAGGGCCAGGTTCTTGACCAGGCCACAAGCCTCACCCTCCGGCGTGTCACTAGGACAGAGCATGCCGAACTGCGAGGGCTGCAGCGAGCGTGGTCCCGAAACCTTCCGTGTCTTCTCAAACTGGCTGTTCACTCTAGTCATCATGCCCAGTGCCGAGATGTAGGAGAGGCGCGTCAGTACCTGCGTCACTCCGATGCGCTCCATCTTGAACCGCTTGACCGTCCAGTTTCCCGTCGAGATGGACGACACCAGGCCGTTGGTGATGAGGTCTTGGCGGACGTACTTGACCACGTCGAACTGGGTCGCCCGGACCTTCGGGATGGTCTTGTCGGCAACAAGCTTGAGCTCTGTGTTGAAGCGCTTGAACAGGTCTTCAAACAGTAGGGACAGCAGGGAGCCCGCCAGCTCGAGACGCTTGTTGCCGTAGTAGTCGCGGTCGTCTATCATCTCCCGGTTTGTTTGCGCCTCAATGACTCGCCGGATCATAAGTGCCAAGTACATGGCCTTCACCCGGAAGTTGTAGTGTTCCACCGGAACATGCGCCAGAACAGTCGTGGCCAGGATGTCGCGCGCGTCATCCACAGGAGTCTTGCGAGGACCTCCCGCGAAGAACATACGCCGGTGCTTCAGCTTCCCGCCGAGGTACCGCAGGGCCTGCGTCTGCGTAAAGACCTGTGAGCGGTGACACTCTTCGAGCGACGGCGCAAACGTGGACAAGATGCTGTCGGCACTGCCGATCATCTGCACAATCTCCTGGTCACTCTCCAGACCCATGCCCTTGAAGACGATGGCAATAGGGATGTCCTCCGTGAAGCAGTTGTGCTTGAGGTAGTAGCGGCCGTGCTTGGTGCCCACATTGGTCCGGCTCTTGCGCTCGTGCGTCGAACTTGTGACCTGTCAACGTTGCAAACACATCAGTGAGAACTCTGCAAAGTCACGGACGAACAAAACGAGAATGCACAACAAGGATTGACAGGTTTGCTGGTGCCGATTTCTGGCCAAACATGAAATGCATCTGAGTCGAGGTGCTTGTATGACCCCCCTGCAGTTACACTCACTTTAACTACATATTGCGTTCCTTGTGTCCACAATTGTAACTAAATGGTTTTGAAAAGTGGTGAATATTAAAAACAGTGGCACTGGAGCACTGCAAGTACTTGGCACTGGACTACTCTTTCCGGTGGTACTGAAGCCTTATGAAACCAAACAAAGAGTATAGAAGATCATGACAGATCGGTTATGAAGACAACCAAACTAGACACCCGCGAGGAAAAGGCCGGAATCGAGTAAAGAGGTTCTTTTCAGCTCCCACCTGGCACATGAGGCCTCCCTTGCGGTCTTCCTCGACAATCATGCGGTTTTTGGAGAGCTGCTCCTGCATGAGGATGACCCTCTCCACGCCGTTTACCACGAAGTATCCTCCGGGATCGTAGGGGCACTCGTTCATCTGTGACATCTGGAAGTGCGTCTTGTCCGCCAGGATGCAGTTGGCGCTGCGCAGCATGATGGGCATGCGGCCGATGGGGAAGTCGGCGCGCACCACCCGTTGCGTGCCGCGCGTGTACTCGATGTCCACGGTGATGGGCGCCGAGTAGGTCATGTCACGGAGCCGGCACTCGTGCGGCGTGGTCGCCTTGCTCGCCACGCAGTTCTCCTCCACGTCTGGCTTGCCGATGTGGATGTCCAGGTACTTGAGGTAGAACTGCGGGTCCGCGTCGCTGGTGATCTTCTCGTTGGCGCGCACGATCTCCTTGATCTCCACGTTGATGAAGTGGTTGAACGAGTCGATGTGGTGCCGCACCAAGCCCTGCACGCTCAGGAACGCCGGCAGGAGCTTCCACTTCTCGGTCAGCTCTTTGACCGGCTGCTGTAGGCTGTCCGTGTCCATCGCATCCGCCGGCTGTTTCGCTACCATCTTGCCGTGTGCTCGAGCGGGAAGTTCATGCGCCAAAAAGGATCCCAACTTACCGCTAAATACGGCCCACGCCGCGTCCGGAATTGCCGCGGCACTCGCTAGCGGCCATGTTTGTTATTCTTGTAGTCGTAGATAGATACGCGAGTCAAACAACTGAGTCAAAGAAAAAAGTTGAATGGTGTTTGGTGTCCCCTACTTTATGTGGTAATATCATTAATAAAACTAGTAGTGATGTTTATTGCCAGATTTAGAAAAAACGTATTTTGAGTAAGGAGAAAGCTTTATAAACATTTCAGCTTGCGTCGGTGTGCTGGTAAAAAGAAATGCAATGGGAAGCATAAGCGGAAGTAAAAGTAAAGTTTCAACTTCCGACGTGCCACATCAGCCACACCCCCCAGACCAAGGAGGTTCACCGTTCCCCAGACCCATCAGACACGCCACCCAGTTTTGAAGTGCTGCTTGCTGCTGAAGTTGCGACAGGAATTTTATCGACAGGTACGATTTACGCTGCGGACAGTGTCTGAGCGAATATCGGCAATTGCTGAGGCGTTCTGCGGGCGTGGGGCCGCGCCGTCGGCGGCTGTTCTTCGTGATGTGCTGAAGTAGGCAGGCACCCGTGACAACTCTGACAGCTTCTGAAATGCTGGGCGTGGCTAGTACCGTCTGCGGCCAATCAGGGGGCTATGTTGCACGTTTTGGACTCCCAGGAGACTAGGGAGAAGGAAGTGACGTAGGTGTGAATGAACGTATCTTAGCAGCACCACGCAACGCGTCATCAGCGACTCCACCAATGAACATCCAGAGAGCGTTGTTGACGTCACTTCCTTCTCCCTAGTCTCTTGGGAGTCCAAAAGGTGCAACATAGCCCCCCTGATTGCGGGACTAGCCGATAATGTAGCCATGCCCTGCATTTCTTATATTGCCAGGGCTAGAACTGCCAAGTTTGACTCGTAGCTTAAACGCAAAGGGTCTATTATTACATTCGCGATTCGTTCTTCGCCACCTTTGTCGACCATGCCGCAGCCTGATTGGCTGCGGAGGAGATAATGCCATGCTCGTGACTTACCGCAGCTTGCCTGCATTCATATCGCTGCGATGTAGTTCTATGCTTTATTTGGCATTGGCCCAAATTGAGACAAAAAGAGATATTTCTACGGAGATCGTGAACATGTGTGTAAAATATGTTAAGCGCATTAAAAAAAAATCGATGCGCCAGATAAGGACGCCAGGACTTCCTAAATCACACATCTGACACCAGTAAATTTAGTGCTTGGTATAAAGTTAAATGTCAGAAAGTTCTCTCTTCAATTAGTTTTGTATTAACGTATAGCCAAGGAGGTAGTCTGCACCTGGTCATATTGTTCTCATGATTTGCATCACCATCCACCTATCCAGGAGCATCCAGAGCTTCCAAACATGGCATCCAACCTCGCCTGTCCTCTCTTCGACTTCACTTTGGACCTCTACAAGCAGCTACTAGTTCAAACCGGAAGCACTGCAAACATCTTCTACTCCCCGTTCAGCATCGCAGCCGCCCTATCCATGACACTGGCTGGGGCGCGGCACCACACGGCGAAGCAAGTTGAACATGTAATGCACCTCGAAGCCAGCACGGTTCACAAGCATTTTTCCGACGTCTTGTCGAAGATCGACAGTTGTGCACCCGACGTCACCTTGCAGGTGGCCAACCGCCTGTACTCCGACCAATCGTTCAGCGTCCTCCCAACATACACCTCTCTGCTGGAGGAGTTCTACAAGAGCACTATGAAAGCGGTCGACTTCAAGAATGACCCGGGTACCTCCCGTCTTGAAATTAACGCGTGGGTCGAGGAGGCGACTCGGTCCAAGATAAAGGACTTGCTTCCAGAAGGCTCCATCGACTTTGACACGGTACTGGTCATCGTGAATGCAATCTACTTCAAGGGACTCTGGAGCTTCCAATTCAATCCTAGGGCCACATCACCGCAAGAGTTCCACGTATCCAAGGATGGGACCAAGACTGTCGACATGATGTACAAGCAGGCCAAGTTCCGGATGAGCCGCTGCGACGAATATAAAGTTTCTGTCCTCGAGATTCCCTACAAGGGCAAGAGAGCGTCAATGGTGATCCTACTTCCGGACGAAATGGACGGACTCTCGGACCTCGAGAAAGCACTGACATCATCCACGTTCCGGAAGATACTTGACGGCCTGACACGTGAGACGCTCGTTGACCTGCGCTTGCCGAGGTTCAAGTTGGAGCAGACGACGAATTTGAAGGATACGCTGATGGCAATGGGGATCCACGACTTGTTCTCAGACTCCGCAGACCTCTCTGGAATGAACAGTAACGAGAGTTTGAAGGTCTCGGCCGCAATTCACAAAGCCTTTGTGGAGGTGAACGAAGAGGGTACCGAGGCTGCTGCAGCTTCGGCCTTTGCAGTAAATGCTCGGTGTGCCGTGTATGGCGTGCCTTTCTCTGTGGATCATCCATTCTTATTTGTCATACGGAGCCATGATCCTGACATCATCCTCTTCATGGGATCTGTACGTCAAGTATAGTTCCTCGAAGTGCTTCCTATCACATTGATTGTATTTTATGGGAGTCAACTTGGAAAACAGAAGCACCTATTGGATGATTACGTTTGGATGCTAAGTTGATTATTAAAGCCTTAGAAAAAGTAATTGTCAGTGATGTCTACAAGCTCCATGTGTTGGGGTTTTATTGGTTTTATTATGTGTGTGTGTGGATAAATGATCCTCTTAATAATGGTAGATTTTCAGAATGTTAAAGTACCTTCCAAAATCCAGCTTCTGTCAATATTTCGACTGTTTAGGCAGTTGAGAGTTCGAAGGGTTTATCTGCAAGTAACCACTAGTTAAATGATAAAAAGAAATTTTAATGCTAGAATGGCATTAGCATTTACACATTGTTACTTCTATGAGTATGAAAAGTGTAACACTATGGTGTCCTGATTCTTGAAGTTGGTTGGGGCAGGGTGATATCTGTGCCAATATTTTTTTAGTGTTGCGAACAAAGTTCTGGTCAATGACACAATGTGCAATGTGGGAAATGAGGAAACTGCTGCTGCTAATGTGTGCATTTGCAAATGTTTTTGACCCGTGTGCACAATGCACTTATTTTGCTGCTTTTTACACCTGTTCACTTTTTTTTTTTTTTAGTTTTCTATTGCAGCAGCTATGTATACACTTTTTATGTTGGGCTACAGAGCAATAAAGTAATGTTGAAAACACTGAGTAATATTTTTTTTTTTTTTTATATCCTTTGAGAGTATTAGGTTTTATCTGGCAGGGGGGGGGAGGGAGGGGGGGGGGGGGGGGGCAATGGATGAGAGCCTGACAATCCGGACACCATTTGCAGTATAAGAAAAATTAAAAGCAAGATTTTTTCTCCCTTAATTTTGTATTTATATTTATATATATATTTTAAACTGATTCATTCTCGCCATATGTTTGAACAGGGCGGATCTGTGATAGGACTTGTAATCTCTTGCCAAAACGCTGGCGCCACATATCGCGTAGCCGTGGTGGTGCCTTATATTTCTTATTTTTTCGCGCATTCTTCCTTTCTTGGTTCGTCTTTGTCAATGTTATTAACAAACATTTCTCATGGGATAGGTTGTACATACGTTTGACCCCGCAAAAACCCATACAAAAACCGCAAAATCTTCGCTCTAGTAAAGCGCGCGCGTTCGAGGGTCGCTCCATAGATGGCGCCAGCGATTCTTCTCTTGTCGTGCAGGATTTTAATAGCGAGTTCGTTTCACACGCACTGGCACCGTTCGAGTTCTCTGCCAGAATCAAGGAGGATAGAAGGGTAGGAGAGGGCATGACGTCGGCCGTGTAGCCTCCACAAGCCATGTTGACCGCCTCGCCTCTTTATTATTTTTCCCCTCACTTTCCTCACTTACCATGCCAACGTGACCACATCACGTAACCGTAGCTAGCCTTCGTCTTGCTATGGGGTACTAGAATACACCACAGTCTAGCCTTCGATCTGATAAAACCTGCCGGACGGAGCGCGCGCAAGCCTGCAAGTACTCGTTCTACAATCAACCATCCATCTCACATGTAAATAATAATAATAATAATAATTTTTATTTGCACAGATTGCGATACCCACTCGGCAGCGTGCAAGGCTAAGCAGAAAGGTTGAGACCCTTACGCAGGTGCGCCTGCTAGCCCGCCGCCAAGTGGGGAAAAAATAAATACAAACACTCAAAACAGACAGATACATATACAAAAACGGTTAGCAATCCCATGCCATTCTAATGGCGAATTCGGGTGGTCAATCGTCGGCAACTTATTTTGCCGGAAAACCGGCAATAGTGTTTGCGTGGTCAGTTCCCGGCCGGCGCGCACCGTTCGGGTGGTGGTTCTCCGGCAAGCACCGGCAACTTTCCGGCGCTTTTTCCGCCCGAGCTCCGAACGGCCGGGCGAGTAGGCGCCAGACTATGTATCCGGTGTCGTCACTTCCGAAATGAGAGAGAAGGTCAGTGAGAAAAAAATGAACGAAAGAGCGAAACTGATCTGAAGTAACTTTAGCAGCCGCTACGAAAGTCAATCCAAGTCGTTGGGACATCAGTGACTAGGGGTGTCGCGAACTTTTGTCGAACCAGATTTTTCGGTCGAACTTCCGGGGTTCGACTGAGTCGAACCGGTTCGACGAACTTTTCACCAGATTCGACCGGTTCGACTTTATGGACAGTGTGGCCAGACCTTAATACAAGCATGTCTAGGTTTGGAGAATTTTTTTTTTTTATGCAAGGGGTTATTTTATATTGTGAACAGCTGCAATTAGAAGAAACTAATTCTAATCACTGAAGAAGTTAATAACTGAATTTTTAGTACTGTATTGACTGAAATAGCCAATCAGCGCTGCACTTAATTCATCTCTTAGCCATTACCATCCAATCCGAAGCCAAGTGGCCAGCCTGTCGCGCATGCGCACACGAGTCGAACCTCAATAGAAGGTTCGTCGAACTTTCCACTAAAAGTTCGAAAAAGTCGAACCTGGTCGAACTCGAACCGCGACCGGTTCGCGACACCCCTATCAGTGACTAGGGGTGTCGCGAACTTTTGTCGAACCAGATTTTTTGGTCGAACTTTCGGGGTTCGACTGGGTCGAACCGGTTCGACGAACCTTCGAACTTTTCACCAGATTCGACCGGTTCGACTTTGTGGACAGTGTGGCCAGACCTTGATACAAGCATGTCTAGGTTTGGAGAATTTCTTTTCTTATGCAAAGGGTTATTTTATTTTGTGAACAGCTGCAATTGAAAGAAACTAATTCTATTCACTGAAGAAGTTAATAACTTAAATTTTAGTACTCTATTGACTGAAATAGCTGATCAGCGCTGCACTTAATTGATCTCTTAGCCATTACCATCCAATCCGAAGCCAACTGGCCAGTCTGTCGCGCATGCGCACACGAGTCGAACCTCAAAACAAGGTTCGACGAACTTTCCACTAAAAGTTCGAAAAAGTCGAACCTGGTCGAACTCGAACCGCGGCCGGTTCGCGACACCCCTATCAGTGACGGCGGCGACAGGCGCGACAGGCTTTCGCTAGCGGTGTCGCGCGGGCAAGGGGCGAAGTAAACTGCCACCGTCTGGCGTTTCGTGTTCGGGTGGTGAGGGTCACGCGGTGTGCCGCCGGCGCGTTTCTGGTTGCCGGTTCCGCCGGCTCGTTCTCGCCGGCGACTGACCACCCGAATTCGCCATAAGGCAGAGCACGCGCTCTCACACACACACACACACCGCACGCACGCGCGCGCGCGCACTTATTTATCCATCTATTCCCCCACCCGCCCACCCCCCCCCCCCCGCACACACACACACACACACACTCTCTCGCGCGCGCAGAGTTTACCAAAAATTGCTTGCCCGCGCCCGCCAACGCTCGCAGCAGGGCGAAACATGGGTGGTTACGTCCCTCCCCCCGCGGACATCAGTTTACCATACTTTTTGCACAAGTCCAGGGACTCCTCCCTGCACCGCGGGAGAGGCTGACGCTGCTGACGCTCCTTCAGCGGAACAGAGAGGAGTTCCCCGATGGCCGCGGGGAGCAGTGACAGGCCGTGCCTCTTAGTCCGAGTGTGCAGAGGCTCAGGCTGGCCGGTGCGCCTGTTCAAACGTACGGCTGTGGACAGGTATGTGCCAGACAGTGAGCCGTCCAGCACACGACACAACAGACGCATACGGGCGATGCTGCGACGCTGTTCAAGGGATCGCCAACCCGCAATGTTCAAACGTGTTTCGTAGTGCGTGTCGGCAGCACCTGTAGCGCGCGCACAAAAAGTTCTTGTTGCTCTTCTTTGGACACTTTCAATGCGAGTAGCAAGGTGCTGCTGCGATGGAGACCACACCGCACTGCAATATTCCAGCATAGGCAACACGATCGACGTGTACAATGTGCGAAAAGCCAAAGGGCCACATGGCTTCGACACCCGGGAGACAAAACCCATAGTGCGGCGAGCCTTCGCAACAACGCCAGCCACGTGGGTGGAGAAGTCAAGCGTTCGCGTGAAGGTGACACCAAGTATGGTTAGCCTGTCGTTCACGACCAGCGGGGCACCATAGAGACTGTATGTAGGGGCCTCCACCCTATGCGAACTGCTAAAGCGCAATACAGAACTTTTAGCAGGGCTCAGGCACAGAAGGTTCTGTGATGCCCAGGAACCAATCTTAATGAGGTAGTCCTGCAGATGGTGGTGCGTGGCAGGTGCCCTAGCAAAAATTCTAATAGAAATTTCTAATAGCCTATCGGTTTATTGACACTTTGTATTAGTCTATTAGTTGTAATAGCCTATTAGTTGTATTAGTCTATTAGTTGTATTAGCCTATTAGTTGTATTAGTCTATTAGTTGTATTAGCCTATTAGTTGTATTGGTGTAGCCTATTAGTTTTAGTTATATTGGCATGCTATTTACCTACTGCATTACGTGTCTTGCCAAGTGAGAGTACACGGTGTAGCTTATTTAAGATAATACAGTTTATTTAAGTACATAATACAAATCTCACATTCACGCAAACCTCTCTATTTAAATCAGCAATTTTCCTAGCCAGAAGCTTGTTCATCCCTGCCTTGCGAACCTCGCGTGTTTTCTCGGCAGTGCAGGTTGTGTCCACATAGTGCCCAAAGAAGCCTGAAAGAGATAAGGAATTCGCAGTTGAAAGTGACGGTAGACATAATTTGTATGAGGGCCGAAATGCTATCACAAGGTGGTCGAAGCCAGAGGGACACAAACTGTTTAGGCCTCCGACCACTAAAACAATTTAGCAGCATCCAGTAACCCTCTTTCGAACCATTTCTGGGCTAGTTTTGGAAGCTCTCTCAGGCCCCGCAACCTTCACTTTGTGCACCCGAGTAAGGAGTGCTGGCAAAACAACCCGAGAAGCAGCTCGCATTCGGATCACTCGACGAAAGAAACCACCGCTTGATTGGCTGACAAGCGCCGTTCGTTGTTCGGCAACGGTTTGGGTTCTGTGATTAATCGCAGAAAAATTGATTATCCTATTTTAATACGAAAATCGGTGGTGCAGGATTATAATGTTTAGATTCTTGGGATGCTAGAGCCTCTAGAATAACGCATGACCAAGAGCGGACTATCTCAAAAACCTCTTTAGTGCCCCTTTAGGGGAAACTCGCAGCGCTGAACCGTTTACATTTGCAAATAATTATAACTTTTTTTTTTAAATACTATTCAATTAAGATGACAAATTGCGAGCAATATTGAATGTATTATCAGAAATTTAAATTTTTGAGCATCCCTACTCGACATCAACTAATTATATTTTAGGCTGAAATAGGTAGAATTGGGCCTCCGACCACTTTACTCGTATTTCAAAGCAAATGTTTGTATGAATTATTTTCAGTTCTCTTTCCACGTTACACTACTTACAACTTGACAAAGATTGACAGGGGAGACTGCTACGGCAGGTAGTTAAAAAAACCTGATACATAACATTTTCGGGAACCGCATGCACATTTCAAAAGAAATACCTCCGGACCATCATCCCTAAGAGGTGTTTTATATGTTTTTGCCATTCTTTTTGCCACCAAATCTACAGCAACCTCACAAGGTCGCCGAGAAAAATGCACGTCGTAACCGCGAACGGAACAGGCAATCTATAGATGCTACAAATGCACCGCACACTTAAAGAGAAGAGGTATATATATATATATAAATAAATTTCATGCTTTGATACTTACCATACATCTTCATGATTTGGGCTCGAAAATAGCCAGATTGGTGTCCTTCCACCACACGTCGTACCAACGGTTGGCGTTGAAGTCCGTAAGTCCAACTGCGCTCAACTTCTTTATATCGTTACACGGAATAACGACGTTTGCGTCGCCGTCCTAAAACTGGACGTACACATGCATGTACACAAGTAGACAGGATACGATTGTTCCGACCATGGTTCCGACACACGTGTTACTTTTGTTTAACGTTCTTTTGTTGGCGGCATTAAGGACTGCTGTCAATAGACCATTTGCAGTCTCTCCCAAGCGCCCCGGCGCGCGCGCGAGGAATCTTGGGATCGGTGTTCTGTCGGCCCCCGTCGTCTGGCTGCTCTCCGTTGGAATCGCATCACCTCGCCCTAGACATACTTTTCATCTTCGTTGTTTATACTTAATAATCCTCTTTTTTATCTACTCCAGTGTATTTTTCTTGTTCATAAGTGTATCTATTTCGTTCAGCGCTTTGTATTTCTTCTGTATATTACGTGTTTTTGTGCATATTCCATCGTTTTCGACGCGGCCGTCGACGGACACCACGCCGCTTCGTTCGCCGCTCCCGGGGTGAGTACTGACTGTTGCCGTTACGCTCTATCCCGCTCCTAGGCCGTTCATTTAACTCGTGTGCGGTCGCGAGAGAGCAGTTTCGAACATCACTACAAATGTCACCGCTGTAAGCAGAGAAATAAAGTAGTCATCACGAAGCGAAGGCCGACATGCCTTCGCTTCGTGATGCGCTCGCCCTGTGAAATGTGAGCGTGGGATATCGAGTACTGCTTGCGTGCTCAACATTCGGGACGGTGCTTTGTCGTTGCGATCTTTTTGCCCTTCGGACGCTTGCGAAGCTGTACCAGCGGTCGGCGTGCCTCGGCAGCGCTCGTCAACAACCGTCCGCGCAGCATCACATCCTTCGCGTTCGGTTCTTCGTCGCGGCGGGAGAAGGGGTTCTGACTGCGTTTTATGCATAGTATGGGGGAGATTCCATTGTTTATCGAAATTACAGTTCAGCTAGCGCGCTCACTGTGGTGAGGCAAGATTGCCCCTGCGAACCGCGCTAACACAGCGTCCCGCGAGTGCATATCTTTATTGATCATCCCGTTTTCACGCAAGCGCGTGCATATGAAATGCTAGACACTTTTTAGTGGCTCTGCGAACTGCTTCTTTTGGACGAACACTGACGCATTGAAAGCTGGAGTGTCTTTGCCACTCCTGTACAACACTTCACGGTCGTGCCAGCAGCTTTATGCTGCTGGCACGAAACGGATTATGGTCAAAACGCGTTCTTCGTATTCAGAGCTGCACTATATCATGGACACTGACAGGGCAGCAGCAACAAGCAGCTCAGTGACACTGGAGATGCTTGTCCCCAATGCCAGTGCGTGGCTTGCTTTCAGAATGCTCCTTCGACTGTGTAATGTTCGAAAGTGCACAAGAAGTTGTAGATTACAAAAGCTGGCATGTTTGCCTAATAGCAAACACTCTTTTTTTAGCACAAAGTTTACAGCAGGCTTTTTTTGAGGGGTTGTTACCCTAGATGAACTCTTACTTCGCAAGTTTAGGTTAATTCTGTCAAAACAACACCAAACCCATTAAAAAACTGTGTTGGTCAAATTTCCGTCCTCCTTTTAAAACGCTGACTGAGCTGCCTTTTTTTCAGGGAAGGCTATGGCGACACGGGATGTACCAGAGCCGCAAGAGCTACCACTTCCAGCAGGACCTTGGACCAAGCAGCTGAAGGACTTTCCTTCCGCATTCTCGGAAAGCCACATCCAAGGGCATGGCCAAGCAGCTGGAGCACAGAAGCACACAAGTTCTGGCTACAAAATGTTCAAGGCCCACAAAGTGCAGAACATCTTCCTCCACACCACAAGTGCATCAGAGACAATTGTCAAGGCTAACGTGGAGGCTTCCATGACCCTTACGAAGCGATACGCAGTGCATGCTGTGCTCTGCCAAGATGGGCAGGTCAGCAAGGCTTCCTGTTCCTGCAAGGCTGGACAAGGCGGTGTGTGCAAGCATGTGGCAGCACTGCTTTGGCACATGCTAGACCTGATAAGGGAGGGAAGGTCCTACATCCCGGATGCTCTGGCCTGCACTGAGGGAGCAAGGCAGTGGGGCCCATCTTCAAAGAGAGGTGCAAGTACGGTGTCGTTCAACGAACTAGAATTCGTCAAGCACGACTCTAGCAACAAGGCGAAGAGTGCGAGAAAAACCACGGAAGTGCATGTGGACGTGGCGCAGGCAACCGTCAAGAGGCTGCATACAGATTTCATTGAGAAGGGAATATTCCCAATGTTTGCGGACGTGATGGAAGAAGCTGCCTTCACACCCTTGCCAAGGAAGGTTCAGGAGCACTCGAACACGGATGATGGGGCCTCTGCAGCACGGATCAGCTTGCCCATAAAAGAGTGCTGGAATCACCAGATGCCACCAAGCGATCCATGCACCCTGACTCTTACACAAGCTCAGCACCTGGAGGAACAGACACGTGGCCAAAGCAGAAGTATGCTGTGGCACACGGAACGTGAGAAAAGGATCACGGCATCACAGTTCGGAGACATCGTCAAACGACAAGCACCCGTGAACGAAAAGTTTCTCAGGACGATTTTCTCGGGCGGACATGGCACGACACGTCACATGAGGGCGGGACTTCAGAATGAGGCGGCTGCTCTGAAGCGCTACAAGGCCAAGCAAAAGGTCCAAGTCTTCAGTGTTGGCCTTTGCATCAACCCTGGCCTTCCCATGCTGGGGGCATCACCAGACGGGCTGGTCTGGGACGAAGATATACAGGAGTACGGACTAGTCGAAGTGAAGACCGTGTCACGGGCGATAGATGCGAACCTGACGACCTTCGAGGAGGTGATGAGCAGAGGGTTTGTGGAGTTTATCCATGCGGACAAGAGTGTCGACAAAAAGCACAAGCACTACTACCAGGTGACAGGACAACTTGCGCTCACAGGACTGGAGTGGTGTGACCTTGTTGTTGACTGGGCGAAAGACTGCTGGGTCACACGGGTGCCCTTTGATGAGGCACTCTGGGTGAACGTTATGGTGCCACGCCTGACAGACTTTTTTTTTAAATATCGGAAAGACTGAGTGTTGATCATAAAATTGTAGTGTCTGTTGTGGGCGGTTCTAGTGCCAAGTTTGGACACTTTTGGTAATCGGGTTGCAAACACTGCCCGCGTGGGTGGGCGGCTCCGTACGTCAGCCTGCTGGTTTCGACTTCGACAACACCGGTTCTTGGCCTACCCGGTTTACGCAACTCGAGGAGTACGCTTATGCCTCCGTACTTCGCCAAGCACCACCGGACATTCAGGTGCGGACACTTCTCTACTGCATGGGCCCCGAGGCTCGGGTCCTTCTCGACATGTTCGGCTTGAACGCCGCCTCCCTGAACAACTACAACACGGTGGTCAAGCGCTTCTCGGAACACTTCCTGTACCCCGTCAACGAGGTGTAAGAGTCCTCGAGGTTCCACGAGCGGGTTCAGCAGCCGGGAGAGAGCGTCGACAGTTACTACGCCGAGCTCTGCAAGCTTGTCAAGTGGTGCAACTACCCGTCCCCCAAAGTCGAAGAACGCCTGGTTCGCGACCGGTTCGTTGTTGGTCTTTGCGACGAACGCCTGTCCGGCCAGCTCTGCTGGAAAGCCAAGCTCAGCCTCAAGGACGCGTGGACGCAGGTGAGGCAGATCGAAGACGCCGAAAAAGAAAAAAACTGCTCGCGGGAGTCGAGAGTGTCCAGGTCACCGTCAACGTTGACGCCACCAAGTCTTGTCATGGTCCGACGCACCAACGCAAGACAACAAAACGGTCAGACGACGCATCAGCAGTGTCTTCACTTGGCGATAACGACCCAGGTTCCTGCAGCTACTGCAGTCGGGCCCCCCACACACGCTCAGACTGTCCTGCTCGGCAGTCTCTGTGCAATTATTGCAAGAAGAAGGGCCACTTCGCGGACGTCTGTTGCGCTCGGAAACGAAAGCAGAGCAAGGTGGCGTTCCTTACCGCTCCACGCAATCCTCGAGACTGAGAAGGCCAAGGCCAAGTACGTTGAGGTCAATGTCGACAACTACACGGCGATATTCAAGGTAGATTCCGGCGCGGAGGCGTCTGCTGTTTCGGAAGCCTTCCCGAACTTACCTCATCATCTGGACAAGGTCGACGACCTGCTGACAGCACCAGGAGACCAGTCGCTAAAAGTCATTGGGTACTTCATGGCTACCCTCCTGTGGCGAGGCAAGACCGGTCATCAGCGTCTGTACGTGATCAAGTCCCTCTCTATGCCCCTGCTCGGGTTCCCAGCCATCCAGGCTCTGGGTGTGGTAAAGTTCTTGGACGACATGAAAGTGCCGGCACCGCAGGGACTTTTCAGAGGTCTCGGCACGCTCAAGGAGGAGTACAAGATTCGGCTACGCCCGGATGCGGTTCCGTTTTCACTTAGTGTTCCATGCCGCATACCGATACCCCTGCGCGAGGTGGTGCAAACAGAACTGGCCAAACTGGAGCAAGACGGAGCCATTCGGCGTGTCACCAACCCCACACCTCGGGACGCTGGACTGTTCATGGTTCCAAAGTCGTCGGGAGGTTACCGTGTCTGTATCGACTTTACAAAATTAAATCAAGTTGTCCCGAGAGAACGTCATGTGCTCCCCACCGTCGATCAAGTCCTGGGACTTCTGGGCGATGCGGCAGTCTTCTCGAAGCTCAAAGTTACCTCAAGCTTCCATCAGGTCAAGCTTTCCAAGGACTCTCAAGAGCTTACGATGTTCATTACGCCGTATGGGCGTTATTGCTTTTGCCGACTCCCATTTGGCATCACGTCGGCCCCCGAGTTTTTCCAGCGACAGGTGGCGTGGATCTTGGAAGTCCTAGACGGATTGGTCAACATGGTCGACGACATCCTAGTCTTCGGCAGAACGAAAAAGGAACATGACCAACGCCTGCGGCAGGTGCTGTTGTGTCTCTCCGAGGCCGGCGTCACCCCTAGCTTCCGTCGACGGTTCGGCCTCAGGTGGACCTGTCTACTCGCGTCATCGTGATGTGCCTCGTCCAGCATCACCACCACGTGTTCGTGGTGATGGTACGGGCCGACACTACTCAACCCATTCTGGAAGACAAGTGGTCGCTCCCAAGAGACTCAATCTGTAAAACTTTGTTTTTTTTCACAGCCAAGGTGTCCGATACTCTCCTTGAACATTCTAAAGGGGGGATTTTGCGGGCGGTGCTAGTGCCAAGTTTGGACACTTTCGGTAATCGGGTTGCAAACACTGTGCCCACGTCTTGTGTAAAAAGCCATTGCCTCGTGTGATAAAGGTGCCTTTTGGTTCCTAGCTCTGGACGCTCAGTTGGTTGCTTGCCGTCGCTGGTGGGCTGTGCAGTTTCACCGCCGGCCACAGCCCGGCACGGCAGTGTCACAAAGGAATCAACCTCATTTTTAATGCCAAAGACTTGGAGAACATATAATAAACCAACTTTTGTGAACTGAAAGTGGCTGTCATGACAAGTAGTTGGAATGCCTCAGACTGCTCATGTCGGCACAAGAATTTGTTGCAAACTGTAGCGCGTACCTCTGTCCGATATAGTAGTCGCAATATTTGTGTACTGAAAATAGAGTTTGTGCACTGTGCATGCTAAATTTCATACACTTTTCCATTGTTTACAAACCCACGCCCCAGCGTGTAATCTTCACAGCCTAGCATGCGCGTGGTCGTCAGTTGTGAAACCGTCCAAAGCACGCGCCATACACACAAACACTAAAGATGGTATGGGAGCGTGTGACACCTAAAGAGGGCATGATCCTCTTCTGCATTATGCGCGAAAGTTCCAACAACGACCATGTGCTGTGGCTACCAACGCCGCTTCCGGCGGCCCACCTGGGAGCAAAATTGGTTTACGGTAGTGTCGTTACTGATTTCAGCGCTATTGATGGTGAAATTTTGGTTGCACGTCAAGGTCCCCACATGTTCTTCCTCTGGGGTGACAGACATCTTCCTTTGGTTTAATCTGTAAACCCTCTAATCTTCATTTGCTGGGGCATATTGACGGAGAATTTTAGTAATTCGCACAATTTACAATGCAACAGCTTGTTTTCAACATCTTGAATTTTTGCCTGTGGCACACGCAATGGCATCTCAGTTAAAGCCCCTTCATGTTTTAAAAGTAGCGCAAAGTGCGTCGATGCACGAGGCACGTGCAACATGCAGCCCTTGGGAAGATCATGGCGACACAGCGCAGCACTGAGCTAGATTTCAGACGCCATGTCCTTCCCAGAAGTGGCACACGGTACGTGTCTCGAGAATTTCCACAACAATGAATGGCGCCACTTTTCCCAGGATAGAGGGGCTTTAATCTCAGTCTGCCTGTTGCCCCACCAAACAGTTCTGCTAGGAGTCGACTGTGGCCCCACCATTACGTCTATTTTTCTTTATTAACCACTACATTTCCGCCCTTTTTAGAGGATATGTGTGTATTAAAATAAAACATCCAAAAGTATTGAAATTAATTTAATCAGTCCTAGTTAAAAATTAAGAATAATCAAATGCTCGCTACTCTGTCGTGTAGTGTGCAACCAATCTAAAATTAAAACCTGGCAAGTTTGGACAACATTTTATTGCGTTGAGTACTTCTGACAGGAATCCTAACGTCCTTGATTTCTTTCATCATGACCATCTACCTTTGCTTTGAAACATTTATTTAACGACCAAAGAAGTGGCCACCATATCTGCCCTGCTGTTTGGGCATAAAAAGAGGAAAAGCTTTTAATCTTCTCGGGAGCTTCCAGGGCGAATGAGACAAGTGGCAGCGATCAGGGACTCCTGGGGCTTCAGTAGTCTGGAGTCACCTGGTTGATCTCGGCGAGTATGGTTTCCTTGAGTGCCGTAGGGAGGTTCTGAAGTTGCCCGACTGTGACGTTGTTGGGGGCCAGGTGCACTGCGAGTGGAGGGTGAACGGGCAATCCATCCCAAGAGCTTGGTGACAGGGTGAACACAAGTGTAGCATCCAGAGTCATGTTGCGCTGGTTGCGGAAAAAAGACGTCCGAGGCCCGTTCAGCTAGCTCCTCGGGAGAGACACCTTTGCGAAGGGCAACAGTGGCAGCAAATTGCCTAGGTTTGTGGTCCCCGAGGAGAGAACGGAGGAGCCTTCAAACTTTCGAAAGATGGCTATTGCCGGAGATGGATCTGCACAGGGAAGTCCAGCAGTTGGAAGCGAGTTCCGAAGTGTAGCACGAGATAGTCTTTTGGAGTTTATGTGAAGGTTTGAGGAGTCGTCGTGGTCTGCGAGAACGGCGGTAACAGGCCAACAGGTGAATGCGGCGGTCCAGTAAGTAAATGCTCGTCAAAGCGGCATCGTCCGGTACGGTTAGCCGCTTTGTGGCAGACTTGTGGGCGGACTGGATAGCTTGTATAATGTCGGAAAAGCCAGCAAGTTCCATGACAGAAGAAAGAGCTGCTCGGAAGTTGTCCCACTTAGTGAAGAATGTGTCGCAGCAGGCGCGACAGTGAGATAGGGTTGCGGATAGGAAGTCGTAGCGTAAAATAATGGGGAGGTGATCACCGCCGAGGCGGTCGCCGGCGACATGCCATCTCCAGCGTCGAGGGTAACGAGCACAGGTAAAGTCGGGGCAGGTGTCCTGCTGTTGGGAGGATTGTTTGATACGTGTGGGGGTGTCTGGGATGTTGAGGAACGAAAGTTTCAGCCCTGTGAGGTCTGCAAGAAGCCGCGTGCCGTGGGGAAGGTCAATGTCGTAGCCCCATGCGTGTGTTTGGCATTAAGATCACCGCAAACGGGAACGTCGTCTTTTGGATAAAGACGGGCGAAGTGCTTAAAAAAAGGGATGTTTAGCGGCTGCCTTGTCCAGCGGTTTAGCGATGTGTCTGGAGCCACATAGACAGAGAAGAGAAAAACGGGCCGTTGAGGAATTGGCGGCAACCCGTAACGCTGGTCATTGCAGAGCACCTCTGTGAGGTGTCGAGAAGAGTGAAGCACACTGATCGATGAACGTACAGGGCGGAACGAATCCAAGGCAAGGGGGCACTAGTCTCAATGTTCGGAGCAAGTCCATCGTACTGTGGCAAAGAAGGGAGGGGGCCGTTGATTTCTTGTAGAGCAAACGCAGCGGCCATGTCGGATGACGAGTGAAGATAAAATTTTTCGATGAAGTCTGCCTTCTTCTGTTTAAGCGAGCAACAGTTCCACTGAACAATCCTGGGGGCGCTAACCATGTTTGCGTGGTGATAGTGGGGGGCCGCCGAACGGAATGATGCCCTGCATCGCGAGGCGCCCGATTACTGCACGGGTGCAGGTATCCACGAGAGTAAACAGCGAGTTTTGCATCGTCGGAATTCGCTGCGTGGCTGCCAGCATTTGTTTTGTGAAAAGGGTGATTTGTTGTTGCAAGCCAGTAAAGTCTGACCCTGACGGAAGTAGGGCAGGCGTCTCACTAGTGCTGTTGACAGCTCTCGCTGATTCTGCGAAGGTGGTCCGAGGCGGTTCTGATGTTGGGACTTGTGTGAGGTCGGCGGTGATGTTGTGTGCCGGCGTTAGGAGTTTTGTGGCGAGCACCGGGCGGGAGTCAGTCTTCTGCTTCGCAGACCTCGGTGCTGCGATGAGGGCTTTGGGCGCAGATAACAGCACAGCTTGCTGAGCAGGAGCTAGTTTCAGGCGTCACTGGTGGTGACGCCGGCTTCTCTTTGGATGTTGATGAAGGCAACTGACGACGCTGTGTTGTGCCGTTGGCTTGGGTGCTGTTGGGGCACTGGGCAACGCGAGGCTGGTGCCGTCGAATGTAATGAGTGCCGACCCAGAGTTTGTGAGAGGACCGGCCTGGAGGATAGCAGATTTCCGGCAATGAAGGTTTTTTAGGACGCAGAATCCAGGTCGCCAGACTTTTTTTATGAATCCGCGAACCTGGCCACGGCGAATGGCCTCGTAGCCTTGCACGGAGACCTGCAGAGTGCCGATCGGGATGTATGTTACATTGAGGAATGCATCGCACACTTGAGACAAAGCAGCATCAACTGCAAGTTGATTACTGCAGTCGAGGTACCTCACTTGGTAGGGGGCTGCAATGGTGTAGGAGACCTGAGGTCTATCTGTGCAGCAACTGCAGAGTCAATGGCAAGAAAGACCCCGTCCATGATGCGGCATGGTTTGGCCGGCCGTAGAATGACAGTGTGGGAGAACTCACTGCAGAACGATGCTGCTGGAGGCGCCGCGGGCGGGGCCGCCTTACGTCGGCGAGAGACAGGATGCCATCCGTCCTCCAGGGGGAACGAGTCAGGGTTCGAGTCACGTTGGATGCACCGGGGTGAGGTGGTAAGCTTAGTCGCAGCGGCGCCGAAGAAAAAAATGCCACGAGCACGCTTCGTTTCATTGGCGGCAGTGCGGATGTGGCAACTGTTGTTGAGGGGCGACAACTTGCTTTCGGGATCATCGTCGCCGAGGATGGAGAATGGATTCTGAGTAAAGACCGCAGGTTGAATTCACGCGGCAACAAGTGGTGCATCAAGAAGCGACGTGACGGCAGGAGTGGTTGCACCGGCTGTGGGTGGTGCATTGAGCGGTAAGCTTCAGACAGCGGGAGAAGCCAGCGTGGCCTCGGTGGGTTGTGAGTCCATTTCGTTGGGTAGAGGAAAGTCCCGAGGGCCGTAGTCGGTGCTAATGGTCGTCATGGGTCATGAGGGCGTGTGGGCACAAAAAGTTGCCGGAGCTGAAGTGAGCTAGATAGAGAGATATGGCCTCTTTTTTCTCCACGACCATCTACGAAGCCACAAGACTGCAGCTCTAGCTTCGACTGAGCAGTGGCTCTCTCGTGAAATTGCACAGCAAAGCACAGACCTTCCAGATAGAGTCCAGGCTCTTGCTCATACTGTTTGGGAAAGTACCCCTCAAGATTCGAAAACACTTCATTTGTCCAATCACTCGTTCCACGTGGATCCGGACCTTCGCAATCGCCCTAGTTTTCGCTTCGTCCTCCAGGGAGAGCTGTAGCCTTCCCCCAAGGAAAGGTGGAATGTTCAGGTTAGCCCCTGCAGCTTCGACCTCTTCAGTGATCAAAAAGCCTCTGTCCGCCATGACAGAGTCTCCGGGCTCAAGAAGGTTGCATAGCCCGGAACATGCGGTCAGGGCTTTGTCAGAGACGCGGCCAGGGGCAAGGTCGCTCACGAACGACACGAACCCATTGGGGGTGATGCCCAGCAGTCCCTTGGCAGTGTTGTGGCACTTGTAGCTTGAGTAGGTATCACTCTGCACCCTGAAGTCGCTAGGTGTCTCGATGAAGATTTCCGTGCAATCCAGAATGACTCTCGTCGATGGATACGCCTCGATG